AGTTTTCTTTTTAGTGATGGTCTGGGAGAAAAAGGAGATCCAAAACACCCCCAAACTTTAGAGATAGAGTGGGATCCAGAGTCCCAAAGCAGAACCCCGGGCTGGTTTTCTTCCTCCGTGGAGGTCTCCGCCTCCGCTGCGGCTGTCGGTGGGAAGGTTCCCCGCGCGCCCCAGTGGGCACGGCTGGACCAGGGCATCCCCCTGGTCAGCCGGCCGGGGAGCCAGGGCCTGCGTCTCTGCACCGCGGAGGGGAAAAGTGGGGCCAGGTAGGTGGCCGAACACGAGGACGGAGGAAATATGTGTGATTCTTGCCAGCAAAGCTCTTCCTGGCAAAGGATTCACTCTGGACCCGCTTGAGCCAAGGTTTGCGGCAACTTGAAAAGACAAAGAACCACGGTGGATAAGAAATCGTTGATTCTGTTCCTCTTACCCTTTTGGTTCACAGTAGTAGTTAGGACAAGGGCCATGTTCGTCATCCAGGTTCTCTCTTCACCATTGGAATAAGCTGGTGAGAGAGGGAACTGAAGCCAGGAGCTTTGGGCAAATTGCCCCACATTACACTTTAGATGTCGGAGAATCAGACCCAGGTTTGTCTGACTCTCACGTTTAGGGTTCACAGGCTTTCCTGAGTCGCCCACTTCAAGATTCACTTCTGCATAGTGCGGAGAGTCAGGACATGTTGATTGGTTTCCTCTTTTCACCCAGCGTTCTATGTGGTTAAGAAATTGCAACCAGGCTGTCTGGGTCTCCACCACCGATTAGCTGTGCAACTTCTTTGTGCCAAATAAGGTTCTGCAAAACGGGAATGATCGTAGCTACCCTTCTCTTAATCATCTAATTTGAGCCTAATCTCTGCCGATCAAATTATGCAAATCGTTGCATTTAATATTGAGGACATCTCAAATAAAGTCGAACTTCCCATAAGCGTATTGTAATGAGCTTACATTGTTGCCCAGCAAATGTGAAGTGCTCAGGTAATGCTCATGTAAACCTGTCCGTGTTGAACGTCAGGGGAATTGAGGGGTTCTCTTGTGTTGTGGGTAGCCATTCCCTATTGTCTGTCTGTACAGGCCCTTGGAGTGGTAGGCAGAGCCTGGACTCTGGAGTTAAACTCCTGGTTCAGCGTCATTGAGCGAATTTCCAGACCTGTCTGTTTTGCACTTGCAGTGATGAGCCTGACTTGGCTTGAATTGGCTTGCAAGAGCCAATTGCTAAATATTCTGGAAATCTGGGAACTAAGCCATATGGTTACTAAGCCATAGGCAATTTGAAATGAGCTGTGGTGGGCTTTTTACATAATGGAAATCAGCAAATGCTACAGGTCAAGGGCTGATACCTGTGTCAGTTTCTTCATGTGTAAAGTGGGTTTCGTAGAGTTGTGGGCTTAACTACTACAAAACATCAGAAGCCCATAGTATAACATGTGGCATATAATTCAGATGGAATGACTATTAGCATCTCTCTTTTATGTCTTTTCCTATGATAAGTGGATGCGTATTTATATACAAGTTGCTCATTGCTATGGCTCATACTTGATTTGAAAACTTCCAAATAGAACCAATAAATCACAGGAGGTACATGATTTGGGGTGATTTCACCTGTGGCCAGGTTGTACCCCTAAAAGACTGACGGCAGATTTAGGAACATCCCTGGTGTGTACCTGTTTCAGAGCAACAGGTTTTAAGCCTGGTGGGATGGGTTATGTCACAGATAGAACAGCTGCTGAACATCATGGGATGGGTCCTGGATGCCTAAACTCCGTGGAGGTTTTAGGTTGAAAGTCTGCCTCCCTCATGGGGAAAGACACAGCCTCTGCCAGGTTCATCACTGTCACCCAGCAGCAGGAGAAGAAGGAGCCAAGTGCAGAGGAGAAATGAGGGCCCTTAGACAGAGAGGTGCCGGGAAGCCGGCTGAGTGATCAGCAGGACCCTGCACCGATTGGGGGATGGGGTCATTTTAATTTAATTTAATTTAATTTTTTTGTGGCACTAGGGGTAAAACCTTGAGCCTTGCACATGCTAGGCAAGCACTTCACCAGTGAGCCATATTCTTAGTTGGATTATTTTTCTTAAGGAAGTTCTCTAAATTATAGAGGCTTTGGGTCACACAAAAGCTGAATCCAGCCTGGAGGCCCCTGACTCGGCCCTAGATCTGCTTCCGCCTCCCCAAGCACCTGCTGTGTTACACTTTCTTTGCTTTTCAGCAAAATCTCATTGGAGATGATGTCTTTAAGCTGAGGGCTTTGAGTTCCTAACTTCTGCTTCCAAGGTTTTAACTGGGATTCTCTTAGTCTCCTGAGGTTTCTCTAAGTATGTGCCACCAACCAGGTGGGTGTGAGGGGTTTTGATAAAAGTTAACTTCCTGGGCTTTACCCTAGGCCCACCAGTTCAGTCTGGTTGGGGGTGACTGCCTTTTTTATGAGACAGAGTCTCACTGTGTAGTGCAGGCTGGCCTTGAACTAAGTATGTAGCTCCAGCTGGCCTCTAACGTGAGGCAATCTTCCTGTCTCAGCCTCCTGAGGGCTAGGATTACAGGTGTGTGCTGCCATGCCCAGCATGCATTTCCACCAGTTGATTTTTATGTCACTGAAATGTGGGGCTCCCTCAAGGGATCTTGTTCACTTGCTCTGTCCCCCACAATAATTTGCATTGTTTGATGATAACTAGGATGTGTCCACCCGAAAAGCAATTTCAAAGCTACCCTGCTGGCCCAGAACCGGACTGAGGGCTGATAATGTCAGAGGAGCCCTCGCCCTGCCAGCCAGGCCACCCAGGTCTGTTACACATTATTCCATTAAGCCCTTGGGAACAGTTTCAGATTTATTGCTGGGCTTAAGTTTTTGTTTTTTAGATGACAGTCTACATAGCAATTTAATGTCTTTGTTTGAACAGCCCAGCAATGGAGCATCTTGGCAGGCGGGGAAATTTTCCCCGCGGAACCTCACTGGCTGGGCCTGGGGGCTTAGAGAGAACGAGGTTAGCCCGGCCTGCAGGGACAGAGGACAAGGTGAGGGTGTCATTTTGTACAGGTCAGCCCAGGAGTGGACTGTGTGGATCCCATTTTGATCCCCAATGGACAGGCGGTGGGTGTGAGACGCTAATGGTGTTTCTTGGTCACCAGTGATCTGTAGTCAGTCTTTTGAATCTTTCCCTCACTGGTAAGAAACTTGGACACCTTAGGCAGGCTCCTGGCTTGGCCATTCCCTGGAGCTTTCTGGGTGAACGAGCTACTTCCCCGAGTTGAGTCATCCCCTCGGCCCCCTGACACCGGCTCTGGGGACGTGCTGTTTAAACTGTACTAAATATACTCTCATGCGTTTCTTCTGCTTCCTCCAGATAGCTGTCCACTGCAGCAGCCCCAGGATGGCGGTGGGGGCAGAGGGAGCCCAGGCAGGCAGCAGCAGCGGCCTCTTGATAAGAGCTGTCAGGAGATATTTGCTGGAGTGAAACAGTCCCTTGTAGGCGTTGAGGGACAAATTTCCCTTCCAGGCCAGTTCCCACCTCGAGGGTCTACCCGGTGCTCAGGTCATCCTGGTGCTCAGAGACCCCTGCTGTGGCCTGCCTTCTCTCCCAGTCGCCTTCCCCCTGCTCCCCACCCTGCCCCTGGGGGGGCTGGATACTAACACTTCTGTGCCTGTTTACCCCAGAATGTCTGTCCTCTGTCTCCCAAAATCTGGTTCCCCCTGCTCTAGGCCTCGCTGCCCCTCTGTTTTCTGCACCTGAGTGTCCCAGGAGGAGGGAGCCAGCCATAAGTTTCTGCCCAGATGTGGGGGCCTCTGAGGGACAAGCACTTGTCCAGAGCCACTCATTCTGGAAGGGGCAGAGAACTAGAGTCCTCTGCGTACAGCAGAGGCCATCTGCATACAGCATCCATTCAGTCACCTTGTTCAAATATAGTTAGAAAATGAATATGGAGGTCCATCTTGGAGGTCCAGGTCTCATCTGACCAGTTCAGGGTAAGTTCTATGACTCAAAGGGCCCTGCCTTCATTTTTTATATGTATTGCTCCGCTTTTTCCCCAGGCTCTACCTGCAGCCACTCTAGCCCTTCCACTTTCTTGCTTGCTTCTTCTTTTTCCCCTTCTGTGTCTCAGTTTCCTCATCTATAGGTGGGCCCAATGATGGGACCAACCTCCAAGTAGCGTTGTGAAGTTCAGAGGATTAGAGTAAGTGCTCAGTAAATATCTGTTTTTATTAGCTGTCATCTTTCTTGCTGTGCCCTCTGACCCCCTTTTCAATGAGCAGATTAGCTCATTTCTTAGAAGATACTGATCACTATAAATTATATACATGAGTGCCAGACACTGGGTTGGCCCTGAGGAAGGCATATTCCCTGATCCTAAGAAATGTCCTTTCTGCACAGCTTATATGGGAAAAAAGTCACTTGCTTTTGTTTCTTTTTTTTTTTTTTCTTTTTGAGACAAGATCTTGCTATGCAGTTCAGGCTTGCCTTGAGCTCACTTTGTAGCCCAGGCTGGCCTCAAATTCACAACGATCCTTCTGCCTCAGCCTCCTGAGTGCTGGGATTACAGGCGTGCACCACCGTGCCCGGCTAGTGGCTTGCTTTTGAAAATTTAACTAATTATTATTTTTCTCTTTGGGGGATTGAAATTAGGGCTTCACTTCACATGCAAGGGAAGTGCCCTTCCACTGAACTACACCCCCAGCCCCAAAATCACTTATGTTGACTTGAGGTGGGGCAGGGCGAAGGAAGCCGAGTGGGAGGGTGAGGACACATTTATGCCTAAATGTCAGGCCCCAGAGGAAGTGCTGGGAAACGAAGAAAATCAATGGCAGAGTCTTCATTTTCAGCCCTAGGATTGGGCCTCTGGGTCATTTTCTTTTTTTCTGGGCTTCTGCCTAGAAAGTGGAGATTCTTGGGAAGCTGCAAATAATGTTTCAGCGTTCTTATTTCCTTCCCTCTAGTAGTACTGGAAACTAGTGGCCATCTGTTGTTTAGTCCACGCAAAAGAGGATGTTGAGGCTTGTTTCTTCTTTGGATCAGGGGTGCTCAGGAGCCCTGTAGCCCTTGCTTTTCTTACCCAGAACTGCTTTGAGACAGCAGCAGAGTTCTGGTCTGCGTGGACCTTCCCGGGTGGACCCTGGAGCATGGAACGTAAGGAACACCACACCCCTTCAGGAGGTGTTCTCGGCATGGCCGTGCCCCGGGCACTGGTGCAGGGAGGGCAGAGGCTGGGGCGGTGTGCTGTGCACGCACAGAGGTGCACAGGTGACCGCTGAAGGGTGCTCTGTGCGCAGCTGACTTTCTGTGAAGCTTGGGTCTTCCCGTGAGAGTGCCATGGTGCCCTTTCTGAGTTATGCGCACCCTCTGTGACCTGTTTTGCGTGCCGGCTATTAGTATGATTCTTTTCAAACTTTTTTTTGCACTTCCCTTACTATTTTCTGCTAACTCCAGTTCACTTACATCTCTCTAGCCCCTGCCTCGCAGAGGCTAGATCCTGGAGTGATAAACACTTAAGTAATATTTAGATACAGTGTTTCCATGACCCAGTTTCTGTGGAGCCTTCTCTAGATCACCAGTTAAAACAAACCGGACTCTCTGATTCTAAATAGGGATGACTTTTTTTTTTTTTTTTTTTAATGTACTATGCTTGGTGTGGTATAGGAGCTGTACGGTTTTAAGTAAGTGTTATGAAAAATTATTTTTTTTAAAATTTTTTTGGTACTGGGAATCGAACTCAGGACCTTGTGCCTGCTAGGCAGGTGCTTGTGCCGCTGAGCTATATCCCCAGTCCTTAAGTAAGTGTTGTGTGGTATGTACTTTCCTTGAAACTTCATTGCAAAGTAGAGAGTGTATTTGAAGGGTGGGTGGGCTGTGTTTTGCACCAAAGCATTTTGGAATTCAGGGTTACCATCTCTGCCTTTTCCTGGACCTGAATATTTACATTGTTTGCTTTAATATGCTGTGCATTTGGGGGTACTTAGATCCCTTGAGGACGTAAGTTGCCTCTGCTGTTGATAGAGCTGGATATTGAGATCTTTCTGCAGCTATTACTTGGGGAAATTGTCTATGCAGGACTATTACATGGATCTTCCTGCCAATCAATAGCAGAAATCCAAGCTGCGGTCATTTGGCTCTAAGTGTTGCAGATGCCTTCTGAGTGTGGATTTCTAGGGAATTAATGTCCGGAGAAAGTCTTGGCTATGACATCACTAGCATCTATAAATAATGCGCTGCAAAGCAGGCTGCAGGCATCCAGCTCCAGCCATCTGCATGCCAAGGCTGCGCCCATCTTTGAAAAAAAAAAATAGTTTTAATGAAGCCAGAAATCACACAGAACAGCATAAATGTAAATAGAAAATGTATGTTCACTGTGTTTGTGTGCTGGATCACTCACCCAGTCTTGTATGGACTTGGACCCAGTTTTCTCAGTCTTTTTGCCACAGTGTGTTTGTTATCAGTCTTCCTGTGGCTGTTGCAGTCTGGCCTGTCAGGGTGCAGATCAGCAGAAATCAATTCATGAAAATGGCAGTGGAGCCTTTTGTGAAGGAGCAGCCGACTGCCTGACGTTGGACCGTGGTTCTCCATTTCCTAGCTGGGTGACCCTTACAAGTTACTGTGCCACCATTTTCTCACCTGTAAAATGGGGTTATTATTAACGGCCTGATGGTGATTTTGTGAGAACTGAATGATTTAACACAAATGAAAAGCTTGGAGTGGAATGTGGCACATTGTAAACAATTTGCAAGTGTTAAATGTCATTATCAGTGTTGTATTCAGGGTTTATAGGGGAGTAGATTTAATGTAGGATACATAATGTATAGGATTATTTTATAATATTCACCCAAAACATCAAATGCAGAAGAGAGCAGGAAATCTGTCCACACGCTAAGGACTCAAAGAATCCAGCTGAGGGCCTGGATCCCATGGCAATGTCCTATAAGAGCCCAGCTGAAGACCTAGAGCCCATGACAATGTCCTCCACGAGTCCAGCTGCTCGCCCAGAGCCCACAGCAATGTCCCATGCAAGAGACATTGCTATCTGTATCAAGGATCTGCACTGGGAAGGCCCAAAGGTCAGTGGTGGAAGCTAGAAAGTCTGCACCAGTGGGATGAAGGATCTGTGTCAGCTGGCTGAGGGATCTGCACTGGAGCCAGGAAGCTATGCTCAAAGTAAGGACCAGAGCTCCCCTGAAAAGTACCACAGCCATCCTCAGCGATGACGAGGACCTGAGCTCCTCTGACGATGAACAGCTGAGTTCATATCAGGAAACCCAGCATGACAAGCTTCTCCAGGAGAATCAGCAGCATGCCATCTTCCCTTCCAGTTCTCTTTTTATGCTGTTGGCAACAACCCTCAGGTGGGCCTTCCACACCCAGCACCACACTGATTCAGTTCAGCTGTGTGTTACAAGTTGACCATTAGTTAATCTACAGTCAGCTAATTATAGACTAATCTAAAGACAGATTTACTGAGAAATGAGTATTGAGTATGCTCGTGGTATACGTCTGTAATCCTAACTCTGAGGAAGGAAGTGGAGGAGGCAGGAGGATCGTCGTGAGTTCAAGGCCAGACTGGGCTGCATAGTGAGTTCAAGGCCAGGGTGAACTACATAGCAAGACCCTCTCTCAAAAAATTAAAAAAAATATAAAATTTGAAGATACAAATTATTTTAAAGAGCCCAGGAGCTAGACAAGCATACAAACAACAACAGAAACTTTTGTTCATTCCAAAAATCCTTTTCAGTTGAAACTAAAATACAATAAAAAATAAATGCCGGAGAACAAAATTGAAATGGATTTTACAACCAACAGTTCTTCACTAAATGAGTGACCTTAAAGCTGCTAGAAAAACATTCCAAACCTCCTTTCTCATGTGATTCATCTAAAATGAAAACTTTTATCAATGAAGAGGAATAAAAGACTATTGAAGGATAAAAGGCTTTTGGATCCAAGAACTAGGAACCTAGCAGCTGTGAAATCTTGGTGTTTTTTTAATTAAGTTCAGAAGTAAACCTGCTTGCTATTGGAGGGTTATTCGTTTCTCCTATACATCCATGGGCCGACTGCAGCATTTAAAGTGGGCCGAAATGGTTGAGGAATCCTTTACTTGGCATGTGTCGGAAAATAGAAGTCTTCTGAGCAGGGGACCCTGAGTCACGGATTGTCTGGGTCCAAGGTGACCTCTATAGCGCTATCAGATGGAGTAGAGTGGAGGTGGGAATAATGGCTTGGAAAAGGAGATGCTTCTTTGTTTGGGATATGGTTTGAAATGGTGTGTCTTCCCCAAATTCTGTGTGCCAAAATTTAATCCCCATTGTGAGGTATTAAGAGGATGGAAACTTATTTGACTTTGGGATTTAGGAGATAATTAGGACTAGATGAGATTATCAAGGTAGACCCTGCGTGATTGAATCCTGGTGGCTGCAAGAGGAAGAGAGACTAGAAGATATGCATGCCTGTCCTCCCTCTCTCCTGATGGTGATGTCCTGTGCCACCTCAGGACTCTGCCAAGCAAAAGCCATCAACCAGATGCAGCCCTTTCAGTTTGTGCCTCCAGAACCATGGGTGTAGGCTGGGCATGGTGGTACACACCTGTAACCCCAGCACTCGGGAGGCTGAGGCAGGGGGATCACTGTGAGTTCAAGGCCAGCCTGGGCTACAAAGTGACTTTAAAGCCAGCCTGAACTGCATAGCGAGACCCTGTCTCAAAAAGACAAACAACAAAACCCTAAAGACAGAACCATGAGTGTTATGGCTTGTGTCTAGTGTCCCCCTAAAGCCTCATGTAGTTATACGTAGAGCTTTTTCAGAGGTGGCTGGATCTAGAGTGTATGAAGCTGAAATTGATTCATGGTGCAATGCTAGAATCAAGGGCACTAGGATTAAGGGTGTGAGTGCAACCCGCCCTAAGTAACCTGGATAAGATATAAGGGATAGAAAGAGCTGTAGTCATCCCTTGTTGCTTTACTACCTTCTGCCCGCCATGGACTGCTTCTCCTCTGTGATATCTGTCTGCCATGCCACCCTGCCATGGAGCCAGCTGATTATGGACTGAAACCCCTACAAGCTGTCAGCTAAATAAACTTTCCCCTTTAAGTGTGGGGTATTTTGTCTCAGGAATGAGAAAAGTAACTAAGACAATGTGCCAGAACAAACCTTTTTTAGAATGTAGCTTGCCTCAGGTATTTCATTATAGTAGTGAAGACTGTACTAAATACAGATGCAACTGAGGCAGGAGGATTCCTGTGGGGTCAAGGCTAGCCTGGGCTACATAGTGAGACCTTGTCTCAAAAATAAATAAATAAGTAAATAAATGAATAAGCATTAAGTGAATTGTGACTGTAAATGCTGCTGTACCACGATCTGCCTGTCTATACTGATATCAGTCAAGAAGGATTTTTAAAAAAAAGGCAGGGAGAAGGCATAACCAGTAGACTTGAAAATCAATTTGGAAGTCTAGGAAAAATTCAAACTGATGTTTCTGTGGAAAGTGAAAACCCATGATAGATAACAAGTAGGTAAAGGAATCCTAAAGGCACCTGCACAGCAGAAGGTGGGCAAAAATCAAGAACTTCCTCTTTATCCAGGGTGCCAAAGCTAGAAAAGCAGTAAGTGTTGCTGTTAAGAGCAGCTTCACATCCCTGTGCTTTCTAAGTCATGCCTAAAAATTCCACGCTGTTCTGTAATTTCCTTACACTTGATGTAACGGAGACGGGAGGCCAGGAGAGAACTGTGAAGGACCCGTGCATTTCCTGGAGCCCGAGGGTCCTATAGAAGTGCTCCAGGTGGGGTCAGTTCCCTTACTGATGTTCAGTCCATCCTGTGATTCCTCAGCTGGGTCATTTTCCTCTCTAGACTTTTGTTTCCTAGTCTAGTAAATAAGGAAATGAGACCAGATTTATGAGTTTTGAGCTATAAAACTTCCTGTTCAAGTGAAAACTGACACAGGCACCCAATACGCAGAAATGATTACAGTATGAAATAAAGGGGAGGGGGCGGTCATCAGCTGTTGACCAGAGGGGCCAGCTATCTTTGCTGTCATTGCACTGTCTTGGCTAAGTGGGAATCCACCATGTGCAATTATTTGTAAGGTGGCATGGTGTCAAAAACCCAGATGATATGGTTTATTATTGAAAAGAATGCCAAGGGTTTTGGAATCCTTTCAGACCAAGGTTAAAAACTTATGGCCAGAGTCATTCTACAGTGGTGAGAGCACTTGTGGATGCCTGAGATTGTTCCTGGAACCGCAGAGTATGTGTCTCTGTGTTTGTTTACTGGGGAAGTGGAATCAACTGTCAAACTGTTCCCTGGGCAAAGGGCAGAAGAGTAAGTTAGTGGGATGCTTGGCAGAATAAACTCTCCTACAGAAATTTCTTGTAATGATGATCTTTCAGTCTGATATTTGGGGAGAAACTGTGTCCAGAAGAAGCTTGCCATCCCAGCCTTGACAGAGCAAGCAGGAACTAGCTGAATATCCCCCGGCTGGAGAGTCACTTTACAGAATCGTCGAGTCCATTTGGTGGTGTGGTTGAGTGAGTTTGCTTCTCCATTACAGGAATGGATTTGTCCCAAATAATGGATTTATCTCACGTACCCCAACAGCAATGGGTATTGAACCATAGTCTCCCCTGGGTTTCTAGCTCTGTTTTACTTTATTTAGCCTAAGATGCTGGGAGGTGGAGTCTTAATGGCTCAAGAGTTTAATGGCTCTGTTTTGCATCCCAGTAAGACACCAGAGATCATAGAAGCTGTTGTTATTAAGTCAAGTGTGTTGTGATATGAATTTTCTCCAAAAACATTTTTAGCTGGATGGCCCCCTAGCTATTTGCAGCAATTAATATTGAGACATTTTTCACTAATCCTTTAAAAGTTATTTACTTTGTTCTTTGTTGATTTCTTAATTAAATGTTTATTGTTCTCCTAGATTCAAACTTTTCTTTATAGAAAACTGTCTCTAGCTTTGAAAAAAAAAGACAAACTATGTCCACAGAGAAAAAGCATTAGCTGTAAAAATAGTTCAATTGCTAGTCATTATTTTAGGGAAGCTGAGACAGGAACTAACACTTGTTGAGAGTCTACCGTGATCCAAGTGTGCTGCCAGGTCTCTTATATATGCTGCCTCCTGACTCCCACCCCCAACCAGCTGAGGTGTAATAATTGTACATATTTATGGGGTGCTGTGGGGCCTGTCTTCCCCTTTCTCTTTCTCTCTCCCTCTCTCTCTCTCTCTCTCTTTTTTTTTTTTTTTTTTTTTGTGGTACTGGGGATTGAACTCAGGGCCTTGTGCTTGCTAAGCAATCCCTCTACCACTGAGCTACATCCCTAGCCTTCCTCTCCTTCCTTCCTTCCTTTCTTTCTTTCTGTCTCCCTGTCTTTCTGTCTTTCTCTTTCTTCCTTCCTTCCTTCTTTCCTTCCTTTCTCTCTTTCTCTCTCCCTCCCTCCCTCCTTCCCTTTCTTCTTCCTTCCCTCCCTTCTTCCTTGTCTTTTTTTGCTCCCCACCCCTGGGAATTGGACCTAAGGCCTTTACTCTGAGCTATATCCCCATCTGGTCCCCTTCCCCCTCACTCCACCTCCCATACCTTTTTGTCCCTCTGAGACAGAGTCTTGCTAAATTGCCCAGGCTGGCCTTGAACTTGCAATCCTCCTGCTTCAGCATCCTGAGTATGTGGGAGTGTAGGTGTATACTACCTCACGTGGCCCACATGGCATTTTAGTACATGTATACGATGTGTAATGATTAGATCAGATCAGATAAAATCAGATTAGATCAGATCAGATCAGGGTAGTTTGTATATCTACCGTCTCAAACATTCACTGTGTGTGTGTGTGTGTGTGTGTGTGTGTGTGTGTGTGTGTGTGTTGGGAACATTCCAGATCTACAGTCACATCCCAATGGTTTATCCTTGGCTGTAGGTTGGTATCAGATCTGTACAGTGAGACATATTTGTGTTGTCGTTTCCTCCTTCAGCTAAGTGGCCAAAGGGCATCAGCTGGAGATCCCTAGTCCCCTTTCCTTCAGTTAAGAGGGTGTTAAGGGTCTCTGTCAGTGAGTGCAAGATGTGTGCACGAAGTCATCGCCCATTCTCCCAATGTGCCAAAATGTAAGGGGCTTGCAAACTCAGGCCTCAAGGTAAATGATACTAAACCAGTATTTAAAAGATGGAAGTTAACACAGAAACATCCATGATGAACCCAATAGCAAAAGCTTAAAGCCTGGAAAAATAACAGTGGGACACCTAGCCATATTAGAGACAGAGGCAAAAGGGAAAATCAGGAAAATCATCCTGTCTTTGTTTAAATTTGTTGTTTTACTCCTTTCTTTAGCAGCACATATGCTAAAGTTTGGGGTTTTTTTGTTTGTTTGTTTAGCTTTTTTTGTTTTTTTTCCGGTACCAGGAATTGAACTCACGACCTCACTCTTGCCAGGCAGGCACTGTGCCACTGAGCTAAATCCCCACCCCCATAAAGTTTGGTATTTTAAGTGGGCATGGGGGCGAATGTCTGTAATGGGGGGTGGAGGTGGGAGGATTGTGAGTTCAAGACCAGCCTATGCTCCATACAGAGACCCTGTCTCAAAAAATTAAAAAAAAAATAATTTCGTTGATCTTTTTTAAAAATTCATTTTTATTTTTAAAAAAAAGTTGTGTGAAGGTGTTTATCTTGATGCCTGATTAGTTAGGCAGCTCCTTTGACTTTGCACCATCACGTAGTCCTGGTTGATTCTGCGCCGTATTTTTCTCTCTCTGCCAGCTGGAGATTATACAGAATGATGATGCCCTGCGGGAGTTTTCAGGGTAAGTGGGCATCAGCCCCATAGAGAGTGGCAGTGCAGGGCAATAAATACAAGACAGTACAAAAGGGGAGGGAAGGAGCTGGTTTTGAGTTCCTTGGGAGGAGGATCAAAATGAGCCTTAGGGGCTGCCTGCTGGTTGGACAGGGGACAAGGTAGGGAAGGATGTGTCAGGAAGTATAAGCCCCTCACTCCTCTGGGCCTCCGTTTTCCTATCTGCACAGCAAAGGAGATAGTGTCTCCCACTGTGAGTGCACCGGACAATGCAGCCTGGCATGTCCTGCAGCGTGTGTTAGCCCTGAGGGTGATGATGACCATCCCATGCAGATCAACAGTGTATCTTTGTACACACTGTATGCAGATGACAGCATCCTGGCCGTGACCCCTCTGAACTTTCTTTTGCAGACATCCATGACAGTGATGGTTGTTCCAGCAGCAGCCACCAGAGCCTCAAGAGCACGGCCAAGTGGGCAACCTCCCTAGAGAATCTGCTGGAAGACCCGGAAGGCGTGAAGAGATTTAGGGTTTGTCTTTCTCATCGTTAATGTGGATGGATGCAGTTCATCCGGAAGTTTAGATGGAGTTAGGGGAAAACAGGCCGATCTTTAACACTCTCTGTCCCAGCTTGAGAGTAAGAACTCATCTGCTGTGACCACGTTGACAGTACTCTTACAGGGAGCCCTGAACTCACACCAAGGGGTGTGCAGTCTGTCTCTGGTTTTCATGCAGTTAGGTCATCGGGGGTGTGGAACCCAGGGGAAAGAATACCAAGGCTAGTGGTGGAATCTACACAAAGAATTTCCAGTTCAGCCTGGGGTGGTGCACGTCTGTAATCCCAGCACCCTGGGAGGCTGAGACAGGAGGATTACAAGGTCCAGTCCAGCCTGGGCAATTTAGTAACTTGGCAAGACCCTGGCCGAAAAACAAACAACCAAACAAAAAACAAAACCACCAAACTGGAGGGCTGGGGGTGTAGCTCAGTGGAAAGGCCCTGAATTCATTCTCCAGTAACAAACACACATACACAAAGAATTCCCAGCTCTGAGTGTCTGTGGTGTGAAGGTTTGTTCTCTCCTATGTCAGATAATCTCCAGGTGCATCAGTGCCAGGGAGAAAGGCTAGAAGTAGCTGGTAGAGTGGAGCTGGGAAAGGGAACCTTGAGAGGAGGGCTGATGGATGGGGAAGTGGCAGTGCTACCTAGAAAAAGTATTTTGGGCCTGCAGGACCCCCAGGTGTCAGGTGGAGGACCACATGCAGATTCCCAGAATGAGCCCCAGCAGTGGCTGTCTTTAAGTATCAGATCAGGTGCTGCTGCTGCCTGTGGTTTTCGATTTTTAAAAAACGAGTTCCAACATTTAAAACTTGGAATGTTTCACATAAGAACCCAAATGTCCAGCTAAAAAACAAGCAGCATTGGGCTGAAGGTGAGAAAAGACACTTGAAAAGGAAGGCCCAGCAGGGAGCCAGGGACAAGAGTGGACAAGCCAAGACGTAGAGCACTCCTGTCAGTGAGCCAGCTGGTGGGGCAGACCAAGGGAAGCCCAGCCTCCCTCTCACACCCTAAACGAAAGCCACAGGCCCAGGGAGGGAGGTTGTGCCAGGCTCCTGGTCCTGGACACCAGGCCACAGGGAGCATAGTCAGACATCAGAGAGGTCTCTACACAACAGAGCCTAACACCCCAGCAGCTGCCAAAATGAAACACCTTTTCATCTTCATCACGGCCTTTTAGACATGCTTAATATGTTTTCTTTTGCTAAAAAAAATGGCCTGGTTTTGAAGGAATGTACTTTGTTTAAACAGTGTCTAGAAGGAACTAATACATCATCTACTTTAATTTACTTTTTGGGAATTTATTGTCAGCTTAGAAATGGGAGTAGATTCCTGCTTCATTTTGCTCTTCCTTACGATGTTAGTGGCATAAAGGTCAAATGTGTCTGAAATTCTAGCTTTCACATTAAACAACCCTTTCTTTTGCTTTTCGGGGTAGAGTTTTCAAAGGGTAATAGAACTGGGCTTATCTGCTAAATTTTTGTCAAATCAGTTCTTAAAGGAAAATGCATCACTTTTTTTTTTTCTAAAAAAAAAGTAGATGACTATATATTTTTTTCTTTGTTTCTATAGGAATTTTTAAAAAAGGAGTTCAGTGAAGAAAATGTTCTGTTTTGGCTAGCGTGCGAAGACTTTAAGAAATTGCAAGATAAGAAGCAGGTATTTCTTCTATTTTGCGATTGCTTTCTTGGCCTTTTTTTCTTCTCCTTATCTAGTTGTAACTGCCTGCCCCATAAGTTTTGAAAGTGCCTGAACAAACCTGATTTATATTAGATTTGGAGGAAGATTTCAAATCAAGTATCTTGTGCTGATCAAATATTAGCAATTTAAAAGAGTGGATGAGCCCACTTTTAAGTGGAGCTGCTAAAATGGGTCAATATTTAAAGTAAAATAATAATTAAAATAATAATTAAATAATTAAAACAATAATTAAAGCCATTAAGAGCTTATTATTATGTGTCATTGTGTACACATTTTTTCTTCATGAATAGATCATGAGGATGTTTGACATGTTGGCAGTTTGGGACATAGTAAAATGATAAGCAGATGTGTAGTGATGAGAAACACATTGTTCATCAGATGGCTTGTCAATTATTCAGTATATCTTTATAAAACACCCTGTAGTTGGCAGGCAACCAACACAGAAAGTTTCTGACTGTGCCCGGTAGATGTGTGTTTTTTATCGGAGGCAGCCTGTGATTCCCCCAAGTCAACTACATTTTTTGCCATTGGAGCTCGGCTGTAAGGGCGATGGGAGGCATTATGGGAGAGGACTGTGGATTGGGTGGGTTTGAGACCTGTGCTTGCATATAGTCTTTCTTTTTTTTTGTTTTTTTTTTTTCCAGTATGGGGAATTGAACTCACAACCTTGCACTTGCCAGGCAGGCGCTGTGCCGCTGAGCTAAATCCCCAGCCCCGCGTATAGTCTTTCTACAAGGCTACCAGTTCAATGCCTTGGGGAAGTAATCCGAAAGAGCAAGACTACAGGGAGTGGTAGGGACTGGAGCCAGCAGAGGACAGTCTGTCCTGCCTCCAGGGCCTGTGGCTTTTGTTTAGGGTGTGTGAGGGAGGCCGGGCTTCCCTTGGTCTGCCCCACCAGCTGGCTCATTGACAGGAGTGCTCTACGTCTTGGCTTGTCCACTCTTGTCCCTGGCTCCCTGCTGGGCCTTCCTTTTCAAGTGTCTTTTCTCACTTTCAGCCCAATGCTGCTTGTTTTTTAGCTGGACATTTGGGTTCTTATGTGAAACATTCCAAGTTTTAAATGTTGAAACTCGTTTTTTAAAAATCGAAAACCTTGCCTGCCAAACCACATCTCCATGGGCAGATGTGCCTTGTGGGCTGCCAGGTTTGGAGCCTGTCTCTCCAAAAGCTGGAATCCACGGGCCAGCAGCCATTCTTTATGGACCCACAGCTTAGCAAATGCACATCACTGGTTTCTTCAAAGGTTCTTGCAGGCTCAGACACTTTTCCCAGGCTGCGACAGTGTGGCCTCTCCTCTCTGCCTTCCTCTTTGGAGGTGGCAAGGGCAGATTCTAAGGTGGGTTGCCCTTGCCTTGAGTTTCCCAGGCTGGCCTTGGAAACCCTCCTGGGTGTAACCCTTGGCTTTTGCTCCCTGCTGGTATCTTCTTTCCTCTAGATGATTTTGGCTGGAATATCATGGGTAGTGAAGGGTCTGGGTAATGAGAAATAGGATGGGGAGGGTCTGCTTGGGAAAGGTAGGATTTGGGGCTGAGGTCCTTCAGGACAGGCCTGCTTGTGGTTTTCTTTTGTCCCCAGCACCCAGGACAGGGCCCAGAGACAGCCATGGATACCTGCCAGGCTGCAGCTGATGTGACCAGCTTTACTCTAAGAGCCTAGCTCAGATTCAGGAGGCCAAGCAGATGTCCATGTATTCATCTGCCTTGTTCTTTGAATGCTGGGATAGGAAGGGCCCACAGTAGCCAGCCAAGCCCTGCAGTGTAGACAGGGAAGATCATGTTCCCCCACACACTTGCTGTGTGTGTAGCAGTTCAGTTGCAGCCACCAAGTCTCTAGGGAATGCCTGCTCAGCAGCAGGCATCATGGAAGCCCTGGAGATACCACAGGGACAAGCCAGATGCGCTTCTTTGGGGAACAAGCTGTTGCGAGTGTGATGAGTGTAGAAGTGGGAAGCGTGGGCTGTGGGTGCACAGGCAGGGAGCCGTCAGAAAGGGCTGTGGGGGAAGTGACTTATAGCCTGAGACCTGAAGTGGGGCTGGGGGTGGGGAATAGTATTCATGCGAGCAGGGCTGGCACGTGGGAAGACAGCCAGGGGAGATGTAGTGGAGGAGGTTCTGTTTGAGGGGGAGGTCACTGTGCTGTGCTTGAGGCTGGGTGCAGGTGTGGCCACATCTGGAAACCTGAATGCCACGGCAAGGAGAGACCCTTCTACTGAGGCCTGGGAAAGCCTCCATAGGACTTCAGTGGTGTGTGACTCAAGTACAGTGTGGTGTTGGTGGCACGATTCAGAATAGCCAAGATATGGACCTAGTCTAGGTGCCCATGAACAAATGAATGGATACAGAAAATGTGGTATATATATATATACACAATAGAATATTATTCATTCATACAAAAGAACACAATTTTGGCCAGATGTGGTGGCAGATGCCTGTAATCACAGCACTTGGGAGGCTGAGACAGAAGGATCGCCATGAGTTCAAGGTCAGTCTGGGCTACACAGTAAGACCTAGTCTTAAAGAAAAAAAGAGAGAGAATAAAATTTTGTCATTTGTAGAAAAAATAGAGGGATCTGGAGATCATCAAGTTGAGAGAAATAAGCCAGACTCACAAAGACAAATATTGCAAGTTCTCCTGAATATGTGGAACTTTAATAACATGACAAAGTAGAAGGAAGCCTATTAGTTAGACAAGAGAAAGGGAAAGAGTAGGGGTATGTGAGGGTGGGTAATAGGAGGCATGAAAACGATTACAATAGGGGCTGGAGATTTAGCTCAGTGGCCCAGCGCCTGCCTGGCAAGTGCAAGGTCATGAGTTCGATTCCCAGTACTGGGAAAGAAAAAAAAAAAGGTTACAATATATATTTGAATCCCCCACCAAAGAAGACCATGTGAAACTAGGGAGGGGCTGAGGAGATGAGAGGTGGGTTGGGAGCAATGATTAAAGTGTATTATAAACATATAAATCTGCCAAAATAAAATCCTTTGATCTGTAAAACCAATATCCACTAGTAAAGAAAAAAGATGGGTATGCAGGTGTCCCCACAGTATACTGCCTTTAGTTTTTTTACTGACTTCCCCAGTGGCTGTACTTCTTTGCATTCTTACCCTGCATTCTCTGTCTTTCTGTCTTTCGTGGGCTTCATCTCTGTCTGCCTTCTTGCCCACAGCATCTGGGTGCCTGGGACTGTGCCTTTCCCTTCTTCCCCTCCCTTCCCCGACAGCAGCCCTGGATATGAGAGATGAATGCACCCTGAATCCTGTCAGGGCTTTTATTCTCAGAAGCACCCAACAGTAGAACAGCACTGGGTCCTTGCTGACTTCTCTGGTCTGTGCTTTGCCTCCTGAGAGGCAAGAAAACCATGCCTGTAGATCAGGAGGGTCCTGGCACTGTCTACTGGGGGGATGCTGGAGACCCGGGGAATCGGGAGGGTGACCTCCCGTCCCTCCTCCCTGGGGCCCCTGGGCTTGCTGTACCTTCTACATGTTCATATTCAGCAACCAGATTCCGAAGCTCTTTTGCAGTTTCTTGATGGTTTAACAATTTTTTTAAGTGCCTCTTCTCCATGAATTAGCATCTGAGGTATCTGAGCTTTTAAACCAAACCAGCATTTATGTTGTCTATAAGACCACAGGAAAAGCTTCAAATAGTTGTTTGTGCTTTAGCTGGCCTTGCAGTCATTCGTCCATCACCGCACGTGTGTTGGGCTTGGTTACCACACGGCAGGTATTAAAGTGGATATGGCAGCGTGTACAGCTTTGCAGAAATTAAGAGGGGATGAGAAGGTGGCGGGTTAGGCAGTTTTCCTGCTCAGCATATGCAAGCCCCTGGATTCAATCCAGTACTGGGATTCAATTCAATCCAGTACTGGGATTCAATTCAGTACTGGGAAAAAAACGTAGTAATACAGTATTCTTTCTCCTCCTCCTTCTCCTCCTCCTTTTATTCCTTCTCCTTCCTTTACTTTTATTAGTACATCTTTGTAGTATATAATTTTCTTTCTTCTTAAAACCCTCTTTTACAATCAAGAAATAGACCCCAGCACTGTTTGTTTGCTTGTTTTTTGGTACTGGGGGTGGAACCCAGGGACACTCTACCACTGAGCTACATTCCCAGTCTTTTTCATTATTTTATTTTGTGACAGAGTCTCGCTAAATTCCCCAGGCGGGGCTTGAACTTGTGATCCTTCTGCTTCAGCCTCCCTCAGTGCTGGGCTTCCAGGCATGTTCCACAGTGCCTAACAGGAACAATATTTTTTTCTCTCAAAGGTTCTTTAAAATGTCACAGTTGTAAAAATGATTTTTGCCCCTTCCAATGACTTGGGTTCTTCTTCTCAAGTGAGGAAAGAGAAATTGAAAGCAACTATCTAAGCAGCAGCCACAGCAACAAGAGTGGCTGATCCTCATTTACGCTTATTTTGATGAAGGTACTGTTCTAAGTGCTTTTACATGGATTATTCTATTTAATCCTCAACAAACCTAGCAAAGATGTGAGTATTATTGTCCTACCCACCTGATGAGTGAGAAACTTGAACCCCAGCGAGGGGAGGTTAAAAGAAGCGTGTGCAGAGTCAAGGTTTAAGCCCTATGCTTGCCAGCATGCAGCCACTTTTACTTCCTGGTCTTTAATGTCCTATTTCTTTTCTTTTTGGCAGTACTGGGAACTGAACTCAAGGTCTTTGTACTGAGCTACATCCCAAGCCCTTTCATTTCTTTTTTTAACCTTGAGACTGGATTTCACTGATTTGCTAAATTGCCTGGAATGGGCTTGGACTTGCTATTCTCCTGCCTCAGCCTCCTGGAGTGCTCTGATTACAGGGAGGGTTTTGGAGCGGGTGGGTTCATTCATTATGTGGGTACTTCTTGGGACCATGTGATCTGGAAATTTATAGTGCTGGGAAATGTTCTTATGTTATTGTTATTATTTCAGTTGTTTTAAAAAAACTTTCTTTCCGTTCTCTCTGGTCTGCTGTCCTCCATCTCCTCCTCTGCCTCCTTTTTTCTTTTTTTCTGAGATGAACATCTTACTACTTTGCCCATGCTGGCCTCAAATTCCTGCACTCTGGTGGTCCTCCTGCCTCAGCCTCTGAGTAGGTCTGCATCTGAGGAGTTGGAATTACAGATGCAGACCATTGGGCCTGCCTGTCTTCCAGTGATAGTGCGCTAACCCGAGATTGAGCCCCTGAATTTTATTTTATTTTTTCTCTCCTACCTTTTTATCTCTTTGGCTTTTGGTTATACTTTTCTTTTGGAGATTTTAACTTTAAGTCTTTCTGTTGAACTTCCTCTGCTTTTGTTTTTTGTTTTCTCCAGACAAGGGCCCTCCAGTCTCTTCTGGGTGGGCCACAAGCCGGTGTGTTCATAAACTACTCACCTGGGCCAGGGAAGTTTGCTGGGGTCTGATTTTGGAACTTGGTTTAATCCTTTGCATTCAGTTTGTAGCTCATCCCTGCCCTGCTCCCCACCTCTGTTCTGGAGCCTCCCTCAGTCAGTTCCTTCTTTCTTCCTCCTTCCCTTCCTCCCTGCCTGCCTCCTTCCTTCCCTCCTTCCCTCCCTTCCTCCCTTTCTTCCTTCCTTCATTCTTTCCTTCCATTCATCTTCTCATCCTTCCATCCTTTCCCTTCCTCTCCCTCCATCCCTCCTTCCCCTCTCTCTTTATAATTTTGTTTCTGTGGTGCTGGGGATTGAACCTGGGGCCTTCACACTAATCTATCTCCCCAGGCCTTTTTATGTTGTATTTTAAGACAGAGTCTCACTACGTTGCCCAGGATGGCCTCACACCTGTGATCCTCCTACCTCAACTTCCCCTGTTGCTGTGAGTGCAGGCGTGTGCCAGCATACTGGCCAGTCATTTCTCAAGAAAACTCCAGCCTGCCAGGGAGAGGGAGCAAGGAGATGGTCAGCTGGCTGCTCAGGGTGAGGGGTGAGGCCGAGGACTGACAGCTTCGTTCTCTCACCCCCCTGTGCCTTGCACCCAGGCAACCCCATGCTCTGAGCTGCTGCCCAGTCTTGGACGTGTCTCTTGCCGCCCCCTCTCTAGCCTCGCAGGTGTCTGGGTTTGTTCTTGCCCTCTGTTCATCCCTCCTCCAGCTGCCTTCCGTTTCCTGAGCCAGTTCTCAGAAATTTTCTTGTACCATGTATTTGCTGTTTTCTTTGTCGTGTGCTCCTTCTGAACTGGTACACAGTTAGCGGCTTAGTCCTTTTGTGCTGTGGTGATCTCTCCCATGGCCACCTCCAGTGGAGTGACAGGGCAGAGAGGAACTAGCTGGTCTGGCTGGAGATGTGTTGGGAGTCAAGCGAGCAGAGCGTACGGTGGCTGAGAGGGTGCGGCTAAGCAGGTGTGAGAGGGGGTCGTGGTTTCCAGCTTCCTGCAGGAGAGGTGGCAGGACTGCTGTGCAGGAGGGGACCTCTCTCTCCCTGTGTGAAAAATCTGAGGAGTCTGTGGGACACCTGTGCCCACACTGCTGGAGATGAGTTGGCATGTGGGTCCGCAGGGCAGGCTGTGTTGGGCTGGAGTCTTGGCAGAGCACAGACTTAGCAGCAGTCAGTCAAGGGCAGCTCTCTGGGAGCCCCGGAATGTAGGGAGGGTGCGGAAGGACAGCAGCCAGTAAGGAGGGGAGGGGCTGGGGTGTGAGCAGGCAGGACCCTTCTATGGAGCGCGCAGGAGGGGAGGAAGGTAGAAGAGGTAAATTTACTTCTCCTGCGCATGCTCAGGTTGGGAGCAGGGGTTGGGAGCCCTGCGTTCTCACAGCTGGCCGAGGCGCTGCCAGGCCCCGAGGGAAGGCCCTGGCCTTGGGTGTCTCACCTGGTGCAGATGTGCCCATACACAGTCCTGAGCTGATGAGCCCAGGCGGGGACCTTGCCAGCTCCTTCTGGCACCTTCAGTCTCCTCTGGGGGGTTCCGTTCTAGGTGGTGCTGGGGTCTGTCAGGGCCCTAGAAGAGAAGCTGGTGCGTCCAGGTCACAGACCCAGAGTAGACCCCACCACAGACGGCTGTTCTGTTCCCATCCTGATAGCAGCTAGAACGGAGTTAACGAAGCTCTGGAAAAACCTACCAAAATAGCTCGAGTGACCAGTTCTTCTTTTCTGTTCAGTGTTCTCGGCCTGGACACCAGGCCTTCCCGTGACTGGCTTGTGGTCGGCAGTCTCAGTGTTTCCCTTTTCGGTCATGCTTCCTAGCCCAGTCCAGATAAGCTCTTGCTGCTCAGCCATTCCTCAGTGCTTGCTCAGTCAGTGACAGGGCAGCATGCACAGAGCCAGCCCAGGGAACCCTGTTCTCCAACAGAGATTGGGCAGGGGGGATTGCAGCTAGTGGGAGAAAGTAGGATGGAGCCCGGGGGTTTGTATACACATAGTCCTGGTCTTGCTTCCTCTTCCCCGGGCTGCCTGTCCTCTCCTCTTCACCTCAAGCTACTCATCACATACCTCTTTTTCAGAACCACTGAAGATAGCTTAGATTCACCTGGATAACCATGTGTGCACGTGTGTGTACTTGCATGTGTGTGCATTTGTGCATGTATGTGTGTGCGTATGAATCTTTTAGGCAAGGGGAGGCCGCAAGTGACTTCTGCAGGGCTCTGCATGGCATTTGCTAATCTGACAGTCTGAAATTCTACTGTTATGAAGTAGCTTTCAAACAGGAAGTGGTTTTCCAGAAGTGTTCTTTCCTGACAGAATGGGGTTGTGGAAGGAAGGCTCACGGGCCCGTGGAGCGGTTGGGTCTTTGACAGGCATGCAGTTACAAAGTGCTGGTCCCTGTGCACTTCGCTGATGCACCCCAGACCTGTGCCTGGAACAGCCATATTTATTTTAAGAGGCTCCTGTGTCTCTGAGTTTGACATCAATTAATTGTTCACATTGATAGTCAAGAAAGAGCAGACACCAGAGCTTTGGGTGATGGTCCCACCTGGGCAGCTTCCGGCAGGTACTGGCGAGGTTTGCTTTCTCAGGGGAGCGTCCTCAGACCTCAGCTTCATGTGGCTTCTGTCATCAAATCTGTTTTCCAGCACCAGTTATCAAAGCCTTCTGATGGTTTCCATAGAGTCCAGAATGTTTTTTAGAGCTCGGACTTTCCTAAACCCAGCATGCTTGGAGCCCCAGGTGGCTCTCTGGAGAGAAAGGCAGTTTTCCAGAACTTCTAAGCCCTTCCGCACCCCAAATCACAGCTGTATGGAGGCATTTGAAAGGATTTCTCATCTGACTGCTCTGTAGGGTAAGATGGTGCGCTAGACCTGCCATTTAGGGAAACAGCCCGCCTTGCTGCAGGTGAGGCAGGCACACAGGAAGTCTCCTTTCTCTTCAAGAAAAGAGAACCGTCAGGGGAAGTCCTGGCGCGCCAGGTTCCTGCCGCGAGATGAGCTGTTTTGAAGACAAACTACTTCCTGTGAAGCCCGGCTCCTTCCAGCAAGGAGGCATTCCCTATTTCTTCCTCCGGCCCCTGGTGACCACTGTTCTTTCTGTCTCCGTGGATTTGTACGTTCTGGGTGTCTCACTGAGTGCAGTCATACAGTATTGTCCTCTTGTGTCCGGTTTCTTTCACTTACTAGCATGTCTCCAAGATTCATGTCGTTGGCAGCATATGTCAGTGCTTCATTCCCTCTTACGACTGAATAATATTCTGCTGAGCCCTCAGTTTGGAGAATCACAGGATGGTCTTCAGTGGTGCCGGGTACTCACTCTGGGCCAGGCTTCCTTTTTTCTCATCATTTCTCCATGGCTGGTGTAGCCATCTTGTTACAGGACATGTGGCCACACATATGTGGGATGGGGAGGCTGGGCTGGCCACCATGAGCTGTGCCTGGAGCTGGGCTCAGGAGCAGCATTTGGAGTCTCTGAGGCCACGGCTCCTTCTGGGCCTGGCAGGGGGAGCTGGGCTCAGGCTGGGAAGGGCTGTCCTGGCAGATGACAGACAGGCGCCTCTGTCTCTTCCAGATGCAGGAAAAGGCCAAGGAGATCTACATGACCTTTCTGTCCAATAAGGCCTCATCGCAAGTCAATGTGGAAGGGCAGTCGAGGCTCAATGAGAAGATCCTGGAAGAGCCACATCCTCTGATGTTCCAGAAACTCCAGGATCAGGTAACCTGATTTCCCTGCCTACACCTTGATTTGAAAAACTACATTCATTCGAGGCCTGGAAATATTCAATGGAACACCAATCTTAGGCACCTGGAAACCAGCTCATCCAGCTGGGCAGGCCCTGGCTGGTGGAAGAGAGGGTCCTGGAACCCTAGGCTCAGGATGTGACTTGTGGGTTGCTCCCTGTGGCCTGTGTACCCTTGGTCTGCACTCCATGTTACCAGCAGTTTTCTCTGCCTCTTGACTCAGATAGGAAGGGAGGCCGGGGCTCTTTGAGAAACCCACACTTGAAGCAGCAACATGTGACTCTTGCTGAGGGTAGGGGCCGAGAAGTCTGGAAACAAGCACAAGGACCTCAAGTGGCCTAAGAGTGGAGCTGTTTCTATGCAAATATCCAAACACCTCCCCTCCTGCTGGTGGGAACTAAGCTAGTTTATAACAAGGCCTCTGAATCATCATGACAAAGTTGTCATGTGGCAGCATATTCCACTTAAAATGGGAAAAACTAGGTTTGAAAAATGGACCTGTAAGGGATGAACTTTAGCTTTCTGGCCAGTTTTCTTGTGAGGAATACCAGTGTCATTGCCAAAGAGGGTGAATTCTTTTAGACTTAAATTTACAGGTGTGACTATTCATATTATGCTTTGCTTTTATGAAGCGTCATATCCACATTTTAGAAAGGGCACACAGACATGTTTCCTTTTTTTGTTTGTCTTTTTGAGACAGGATCTCGCTATGCAGTTCATGCTGACCTTGAGCTCCTTTTGTAGCCCAGGCTGGCCTTGCACTCGCAACGATCCTCCTGCCTCAGCCTCCCTAGTGCTGGGATCTGAAAAACTACATCTGAAAATGTAAATATATGATATAATGGTGGATGTTTTCCAATTGACACAGTGGCAAGTGGGAATTCCACAAGTTGTGAATCAAATGTGGGTGTTGGAGGAACTGCAGCTCAACACAGACATGGTTCACACTTCTGCTGGGCCTGTCCTTATTGAGGAAGCATAGCCCTTACTTGGCAACACAGGTGGAGACCAGCTTTCAGCTAAACTCATTAAACTTGAGCAGGTCCAAAATCCCTGGAGGGTGCTGGCCCCACTCTCAGGGCTAACCCTTCAATCCTGTGGTTCCAAGTGGGCTGGGACTGCATCCCTAACAGATTTCCAGCAGATGCTGAGCCTGTGGGTCTGAGGCTACAGCTGAGAACAATGGGTTCTGTATGTTGGTTGCCTTTTTTGATCACCTGGTGTGTTCAAGAGCCTGGAGAAACATCCTAGCATCTGAGGCCACACCTTTGTTCATCATCAGATAGAAAACCAATACAACGATAGAAAATGTAAATATATGATATAATGGTGGATGTTTTCCAATTGACACAGTGGCTAGTGGGAATTCCACAAGTTGTGAATCAAATGTGGGTGTTGGAGGAACTGCAGCTCGAATGGGGAATCGTGGAGGTGGTGGTTTGGAGCCAGTGAGAAGATGCTGTTGACACGGATTGTGAAGGGAGAGAGAATGGGTAGTGAAAAGGCAGTTACTGTGACTGTATTCACTTGGGAATAATCACCCCATCCCAGACCTCAGCCTCTATCTCTGCCTCTGTCTTGGGAATTGAACCCCGAGCCTTCAAACTAAGCTGCAGCCCCATACCTTTTATTTGAGACAGGGTGTTGCTGAATCACTGAATTGTCCAGCCTGGGTTTGAACTCATAATCCTCCTGCTTCACCCTTTTCAATCTCTTAAAGGCTCGCTAGGTATACAGTGTAGCCAGAGTTGAGAGCCCCACCCTGCAGGTATTTACAGTAACATTTTTGTTTTTGAGTGACAACTTATATTTGTTTTGTTCTATTGTAGTACTGGAGGTTGAATCCAGGGTCTCATGCAGACCAGGCAACTGCTCTACTACTGACACATACCCCCAGATGCTCCTTTTAAAAAAAATTTGAGGTCTGGTGAGGTGATCCATACCTGTAATCCCATCAGTCAGGAAGTTGAGGCAGGAGGATCACCATGAGTTTGAGGCAAGCCTGAACTACATACTGAGACCCTATCTCAAAAAAAAAATTATTTTGAGACAGGGTCTCTTGGCAAATAACCCAGGCTACCTTGAACTTGTGACTTTCCTGCTACAGCTTCTGAATAGGTGGGATTACAGGTATTTGCCACCATGCCTGGCTGAAAAATTTTAGAAATAACTTTTAACTATCTGAAATACAAAGGTCATACATGCTCAACAAAGAAATGTGAAAACTAAAACATGTTGAGAAGAAAAATCCTCTTGTTTCTATACCTGGAGATAACCACGGAGTAACACGTGGTCTCTAGATTTTCTTTCCTTTTGTGTAGATGTGCAGTGCACACATTTATAACAGATGGGGACTGATGCAGGCCAGTGATGACCATATCATCATCTTGTAGCACAGGAAACCCACAGTGTTGTATGTGGCCCCGCAGCCCCCACATTACTGGACGGCAGCATTGACCTTGAGAGCATTATCATGGCCTGTAGTATCCTTGGGGACTGACCGCAGGCTCCCCCAATGATACCAAACTCCATGTACAGCGGTCCCTTGTACCAAATGGTATTGTATTGACATATACTGTATATATATCCTCTCATATGCATTAAATTGCCCTCAGATCACATATAGTACAAAGGAAACACTGTATAAATCATACAGTTGTATTTTTTAGGGACTAATGACAAGAAAGAAAAGTCTTATGTGTTCAATATGTGTGCAGTTTTGGTTTCTTTTGTTTGTTTGTTTGTTTGTTTGTTTTCCGGTACCGGGAATTGAACTCACGACCTTGTGCTTGCCAGGCAGGCGCTGTGCCACTGAACTAAATCCCCAATCCTATTTCTTGGGATATTTTCAATCCACATTTGGCTGAATCTGTGGATGTGGAGGCTCTGCAGAGGCTGCCTGCGTTTGGAGTGCGAGCTCATTGTACAGAGTCCCAGGGAAGGGCCCCTGGGCTCTGTTTTACTTTGGAAAACTCTGCCTCCGGGGCCTGGCTGGAAACTGTCCAAGTGTGTAGCTGTGCTGTCTGCTGTTCTTCACTCCCAAAAGACACCTGTGAGGGCCCTGATTCCTAAGTTGAAGAGATGAAAGCTGAGGGGAAAGTGACTGGAACCACAGGATTCCACCCAACTTTAAAAACCTCTGAAGCTTCGGCTTTGCTGAGCACCCACTTGGCCTGATTGTGGAATGGCCCGAGCGAGCTGCTTTCTGTGTCCATATTCTGCACCTCTGGCCAGGAGAGCTTCAGGTAGCCCCAGCTCACATCACAGTGTGGCAGGCAGCACTGACTTTAGGGGCACAGCTGGAACCTGAAGGAAGGGCAAATCCTCCCTGAGCCTCAGACGAGATAACCTGACATCCATGGGTCCCATTTAAAGGAGAGCTTCATGGGTTTCCATTCAGGTCTGGTTCACTGTTGGTTTTCACACAGTTCTAACAGGTTCTAGTTCTTCCGTTTAGAGCAAATTTGAATTACCGGTAGAGGTGATGGGTGATGGGTAGCAAGAAGCGACAACTAACAGCCAGGGAGGAGACAGAAAGTGATAGTAAACACAAAACCACAGCACAGTGATCTGGAGCCAGAGCATGTGCCACACACCACGCTGGGGGCATCCCAGTGCTACAGGGCGGTGACACGATCCAGGAGCCTAATACCCCAAACCAACGAACAAAATTTACATTGCTGTCAGTGTAGTATGCGGAGAATGTGCCATACATTTAATAAGCATTTCCTCAAAAGGAACATATTAAGAGAAGTATAGGGGCTTAAAACTGTTACCTGGAAAGTTCATGTAAGAGGAGAGATCCTGTCGGGCATGTGGCGTGTACCTGTAACTCCGGTACTCAGGAGACTGAGGCAGGAGGATTGTTGTGAGTTTGAGGCCAGCCTGGGCTACATAGTGAGTTCAAGGTCCGCCTGAACTACATAGCAAAAAAAAAAGTAGAGATCCTGCATACCAGGAATGGCGTAAGCAGCAAGGAAATCAGTTCCTATCCATCCTTGAAGACAAAGATACTAAGAAGGAAGTACGGTTGCTAAGAGATGGGCCATGGGTGACTAGGAAGAGCTGCTGTGCATCTCCTGGTCAAGGAGGCTCCCTGGAGAGGCCACCAAGGCCTGAAGGACAGGGGGCTGGACAAGAAGACCTGAGAAGCAGAACCTTCCAGGGAAGGTCAAAGGCCCCCAGGCAAGCATCAGCAGAGAGTGTTGCGGGGTCAGTGTGCTCAGTGTCTTAATTACTCTTTCTGGTTGCTGAGACAAAATTCCTGACACCCAAAGTTAAAAGACAAAAGGTTTCTTTTGGCTCCCAGTTTGTAGAGCTTTCAGTCCATAATCAGCTGACTCCAAGGGAAGGTGGCATGGTAGAGGGCATCACAGAGGACACACAATGTACAGTGGGCAGAAGGCAGCAAAAGCAGCAAGTGACAAGCGAAAACAGCAGCCTTCTTTCTGTCCCTCATTCTGTCTGGGTTACTCACCCTTAGGGCAGGCAGCACTCACACCCAGGGAGGGCCTTCCCATTATCCACACCCAGAACTATCCCAGACCAATCAGTGGATTAATTTAGAAATCTCACACCCTTATCCCGTATCACACACTTAATCCCAGCATCACGCACCCTAGATCCAGCCACCTCTGGAAAGTCCCTCCCTGTGACTGCATGAGACTTTGGCAGGACATCCAGACACGAACTGTAACATTGAGCTTAGTGAGTGATATCGCTGGAAGTTGTATCGGGAGAGACCGGCTGGGGTGGGCCCTGGGGCTGTGGTACCAGTTTAACTTCAGGGATTTTGAACAGTGGCTATTTCTAGGGTGGGCCAGTTAGATTAAGAAAATTTGATCCTCTTGAAAGCTGGGCCTCTTGGCTCTGATGTACAGCTCTGGATGTCCTGCACCCACCATCTGGACAAGAGTACAGGTGACTCGGTACAAAACCAGTTCTTTTCTTTTCTTTTTTTTTGGTACTGGGAATCGAACTCAGGACCTTGCACTGCCAGGCAGGTGCTTGTGCCACTGAGCTATATCCCTGGCCCACAGAACCGTTTCTCTTGCTGGAAAGTCACCTGTGAGCCTAGAGGTCCCGACCATGGCTCCTCACTTGTGTTCTGACAGCCAGAATGCCAGCCCTGTGCCCCTCCCCCTCCCCCGGCCCATCACTTCCTAGACGCTGGGCCCAGATTCAGTGTGTCAGGTTGGCACTCAGCACCAGGAAAGGGCCGTGGGGGCTCGTAGTCGAGACCTGCCCCCGTCTGACCCGGGGCGGTCCCTGTTTCTTCGTGTGGCTTCTGTGTCCCCATCAGCAATCTAGGGCTTTCAGCAAGCATCGCTGCTGCTCTGAGCTGTACTGCAAAGCAGTCTACCCCTGTTGATACCTCACTGTCAGGTCACTGGGGTTTGGTTTTGAGTATCATGGACTCCGGGAGAGAGTGGACAGCCTGCCTCTCATGTGCGGCACGGGGAGTGTAGTTCCCCTCTTGCAGTGGGTCTTTCTGACTCCACTTTTGCCCAGCCTCTTTCTAGAGTGCCGATCCCACTCCGGCACATCATCCGTCTCTGCCAGGTCTGTCTGCCAGCCAGCGGTGCGCTCCAGAGTGACCGCCCCTTCCCTGTGACTTACTTGGGTGTGTCAGGGCCAGGGCTGATCTGAGCTGTGTTGTCTTCTCACCTGCTGTATGCCAGCCGCCGTCAGACCTGTGCCCACTCCATTCCTGTTTCAGAAGAGGGAGAGCTTGTCCGCATCTCGGGGTGGGCAGCACCCTGCCTCTGCACGTCTGTGTACCCTCCATGATGCCCCGCTGACTGTCTCCAGGGCTGCAGAGAGAGGGGCATCTTCTTCCTTTCCACTTCCTGCCTGTTCATGTGGCCAGGAAATTGTGTCCGTAGCCTAGGTGGGCGGGACAAAGGATACATTCCAAACCGCTGTTGAGAGATAGCAGTGCTTGCTGCCTGTCTGACCCTCAGCAATTTTCTTGCAAAAACCAAACCAAACACTTGAAACAAATATAAAATCGCACTAACACTGCACTGAAGGATTCTTTTTTTTTTTTTTTCCTTCTCTCCTTGTGCATGTTGTAATAACCTGGTGGGCTATTTTGAAAAGAAAGGAGATACATGTTTTGTTTAGATCTTCTAAGGTATTTGTCTTCTGAGAGGTGTTAAGATATTGATTAAGTTTGAAATGCAATGAATCGAGGCCGTGATGAAATGTTAAGCAATTTGTTCTCTCTGTGGATCTGTGTGCTTCTGTGGTGGAGCCCTTTCCTGGCTCGTCCCATGTGAACTGTCCAAGGTTGGAGCGCTGCATGGCTAGTCATCCTTGCTGAAAGGTGAATCCTGATCTCAGTTGCTGCACCCCTGGGCTTTGCAGCAGGCGTATAATGACCTGTGTTGGAAGATTGATGCGGAGTCCTGCACGCACCCTTTCATTTTCCTCTTAGTCCTACGTCTGTCAGCCTTCAGGACCGGACCCCAAGGCAGTGGTGCTCAACAGTTTACAGTGCAGACATTCGGCTCACAGATGTGCTGGCTGCCAAAACTCGGGACCTTGCTAAGCCGCAGCTGTCTTGGCCAAAATATAAAGACACAGACTGCAACTCAGCCGCCAGCTGGAGTTTTCTGCCTCATCAGCTGCCTGTCACAGACCATTTGCCTGCTTAGGCTCCACTCCAATGCCTTCTGCCCACCTTGAGCCTCCTCCTCACCCCAGATTTGTCCCTACTTTCTTTTGTTCTTCCCTGCAGACAACCCAAAGATTCTGAGCAGGTGGCACTCACGGTCCTTCTGGGTGAGGCCAAGTCTCCCCATAAGAGAATCCTGGCTTAGTAACTCATTTTCTGTGCCTGAGTAGGAGTAAATTCAAATCAGTAACTAGTTCTAGTTTCCTAGGACTGTGATAACTGACCACCACAACCTGAGTGGCTCAAGCCAGCAGAAACTTCTCTTGAAAGTTAGGACCCTTGAAATCCGGAGTCAAGTTGTCACAGGGCTGTGCTCCTTCTGAAGACTTAGAGAGGTGCCTTCTTTGTCTCCCCCAGCTTCCAGGTTGCTGGTGGCTGCTGGCTGTCTTGGCTGTTCCTGGCTTGTAGCGGTGTCACTGCAATCTCTGCCTCTGTCTGCATCTGGCCAGTGTGTCTCTCTGTGTCCTGTTGTCTTCCAAAAAAGACGCTACTCCTTGGGTTGGGGCCACCCTGGATGCAGGATAATTTCATTTTGACACCCTTAACTAACCTTATTTCCAAATACAATCACATTCTGAGGTTCCAGGTAGACATCATTTGGCGGAGGGGAGGGGCAGACACTATTCAACCCACTACTGACCTATAGGGAGACTTACTTCCTTTCTATACACACAGACACAACCTTTTTTGGGGACCATTGTTTTTAGAGTTAGTGCACTTTTTATATGTAGTATTTAATCATTTAACATGCACAAAAGTTTTCTGGACTCAGCTCTCAACCTCATCTGTGATGACTACACATTGTTCTGCCACACGAGCAGCAGTATGGCCTAGTGGTTAGGAGTGGGGGCTCGAGAGTCAGCCTGCCAGGGTTGACATCCCATCGCCCCTTGCTCACAACTATGGGCTGAGTTTTTCCCTCTCCACCATGTAGTTTATATATTGAAGTCCTAAAGCCAAGTACTTAAGAATATGACCGTGGGAGCTGGGGATATAGCTCAGCAGTACAGTGCCTGCCTGGTTGACGCAGGGTCCTGAGTTTGATTCCTTGAACCAAAAAATCAGAATGTGACTGTGTTCGGAGGTATGTTTTTAAAGTTAAGTGAGATTATCGGGGTGGGCCCTAATCCAGTTTGACTGGTATCCGTGTGAGAAAAAGAGGTTAAGGTTGGGCATGGTGATGAACACCTGTAATCCCAGCACTCAGGAAGCCGAGACAGGCCATGAGTTCAAGGGCAGCCTGGACTACACAGTGAGACCCTATCTCAAAAAAAAAAAAAAAAAGAGATTAAGGTACAGACACGCACAGGGGAGTGACCACATGAGGACACAAGGGGAGGATGGCCATTGGCAAACCAGGGGGAGAGGCTCAGAAGAAATCGACTCACTGGCACCTTAATCTTGACTTCTAGTCTCCACAGCAGTGAGGAAGTTTGTATCTGTGGCACTAGTTATGGAAGCTAGAGCTGATCGGTGCACACCATCAAGCAAAGCCCCAAGCTCTGAGCCCCAAGCCCCCATTCCCCACCCCTGTAAAGTCAGGGCCCTTAAGGACATCGTGGGGTTACATGAGGGAATGCTGCAACTGTGGCTGGTGCAGCTCAGTCCCAGCCTGGGTCATTTTCCCAGCCTCTGCTGCGCACGCTGGGTGGTTTCCGGTCACTCGCTGGGCAGCATTTATTTGACCCCTCGTGGCCATTTGCCCTAAGGTAAGCCAGGCAATTGTGGGTAGCTGGGTACATTGCTTTAGAGAGATTTTCAGAGCATTCTGCTCTGCAGTGGGACTTCCTGCTGGTACATGCTCCCAGCCAGTGCCCGAGAGGCCCTCAGCAGCTGGCAGTGGGCAGCTGGTCTCTGGACCCTGTGTAGAGCTATTGAGCTGCTCACAGCCCAGAAGCTGAGGCTTGTGGGAACCACATCCTTTCCTTTTTCAAGTCTTTCTGGGCTTGGTGACCACAGCTGCCTCTGCTGACTCTGTAGTACCCCAGGTGGTGAGGTTGGAGGCCCCCGCCTAGGCTTCTGCCTCCCAGGATATTTCACACCTGCCCTGGCAGGGAGTAGCCCTTGTTAAACAGTTTGTAGCCCCCTCCCACTGAGCTGGCACTGATGGAGTGGAGGGAGGAGCCTGCAGCCTCTTGGGATCTCTTGGCAACCCCGTACGGGCCTGAGCACCACTCTCAGCCTAAGCAGCCTCCACCCTCCCTGCCTCCTCTGGCCCTGGGTGCCTCCAGCACAGTCCTTCTCTTCTGTCCTTTGAAGTCTGAGCTTCAGAGTCACTGCAGGCAAACAGGATGTTCCTCTCCCACACACAGAGACTGCAGATGAGATGCCAGATGCGGGTCGCACCGCATCCTGCTCCTGATCGGTGGGTCCCCTTTGCTGTGGACTTCAGGGAGGGGGTGGAGGTACAGGCTGTGTGCCAGGTGGGGCCTCGTGAAGCTGGTTCCATGTGTCACACTTTGCGTGCGTGCTCTGGACTTTGAACTTAGTGGGCATTTAAAAGTTCCCTCTGCGAGCCCTCGCCTGGAAGGGCTGAATGGTGCAGGTGCCGAGGGATGGGGATGCATGCTGTGGGTGGTTGGCTGCCAGAGGGTAATGGTGTTCCTTATCTCCTGCCTCATTCCTGGCCGTGGCCTTTGTATTTTTGTTTAAATATATAATTTCTCCAAACCTCAGCACATTATAATCACACCTAGGATTACAAGATTGCTGCAAAATATGTAACTGCTCAAGAGAGCTCGGGCAGGTCTGGAAGGGCACCAGGGAAAAGGCAGGCACTAATAAACACCGACATCTTAAAGCTCTCCTGAGTCTGGGCTGCTTAGGGCGAAATGACTTAGAGTTTGGTTCTCTTAAAGTTGCAGCTGTCTTGGGAAAATGAAGGTGTAAAGGGCAAGAGTTCCAGTTCTTTCCTGAGGCTCTTCCCATCCCCCAAGCAGATGTTCTGAGGCCTTAGGATCCATCAGCTGTTTAATTTACAAAATAGTTTGTGTGTGTGCTAGAAGAGGATGGGCTTAAAAGATGTCAGGATTTTACCACCCACTTGACGATGCCGGCTGGCAGTGAGCCGTGTTCTGGGCACCTCTGGCACTTTCCACCCGGCTGAGCCTGTGTGGGTGCTGCGAGGGGCGGCATCTGGGTTCCTGCGTGGCTGTTCGCCTGCAGAATGTCCTGAAAGCTGGAGAGTCAGAGAGAGGGATGGGAGGTGAGGAATTTCTCAAAAAGAGATTATTTCCCCCCATAGCAGGGAAATGCATTCCTTTTTGCTTTTTTTTTTTTTTTTTTTTTTCCCCTACTCATGCTGTAGGGTGAGTCAGGGAAGAGGATGGTGGCACAGGGTTGGGTGGGATGCTGGAGTTGGGGACCAGGGCTCACAAGGAAGCCCAGTGCAGTCAGAGGAGGCTCTGCGCTGCCCTCCAATCCTGAGGCCTTACGCATGGTCAGGGGCTTCCTCAGCCACCAGTACAACCTAGAGTCTTTCTTCTTAGAGACACTCCTCGCTGTCCGGGTGAGCAGAGGTTTGCATTCTGCTGCCAGCTGATGTTCTCTCTAACCGAGACGGGTCCCCACAGCCTCTCCTTGCTGAGACCCTAGGGTGACCCCCCCACTCCCTCCGCTGAATAGCCGCTTTTGTTTCTTGCCTGATCATCAGTTCATTTGAGATCTCGACTGCCAGACTTACTGGGAGTCTTAATAAGATTGAGGTCATCTGATGACAAAAAGTGACCTTTTTAACCCCATGCCTCTGAAGGTAAATGGTTTCTGTGTTGCTGCTCCAGCTCTTAGAGAATCACATAATCTATCCAAACACAGCAGAGATTTTCTTGATACAAGGGTATGAGTCAGTGCAGTGCTGCTCAAATCTATACCTCTGTGGAAAATAAAGATATATTTGTTTGTATGACAGGCTAAGCTATATATTTCATTGAGATAATTATTATATAGTGACAGAAGCATTTGGGAAATCTGCCTTGTCTAGAGCATGCTTTACTTTAGCTTTCTTTGTGTGTTTTTATACATTGTTTGTATTCTTTGGCACATGATAGGTATTTAATAAATACTTGAAAGGATGATTCATGATCTGAACTAGCTGTAGCCTTCAGATTCTTTTCCTTTCCTCCTTAGATCTTCAATCTCATGAAGTATGACAGCTACAGCCGCTTCTTAAAGTCTGACTTGTTTTTAAAACACAAGCGAACTGAGGAGGAGGAGGAAGATCAACCTGATGCTCAAACTTCAGCTAAACGAGCTTCCAGAATTTATAACACATGATCCCCGAAAAGCCAGGACTGCTGCCTTCACAGAGCAGAGGGACTTATTCTCAGGACTGTGCAGGGTTGTCATTGCTTTGTAATGTGCAAAGATGGAAATGTACAAAACCCCTTAGTGGGTATGTGTATCTTATTAACTGCTTGGCCAGTAAGTTTTGCATGATGACTAATCTTACATAAAAAAATAGCTTTGAGTTTTCAGTTCACAAAACAGAGATTTCTTCAACATTGGACATTGGGAGCATTTTACAGCTTGATTAAACTTTATGTGAGGCCACAGGGTGAAGCCTACAGCCACATACCCCTTCTAAGTCTTGGCTCTGGCTCTCCGGTGAGGGTGTGTGTGTGTGTGTCCCCAAACTCCTTTGGCAAACTAACTCAAGTGCGAGTTGACCTGACAAACTGTAGGACAGTCGCCTTTTGGCTTAATTACTCATCAAGAGCAAGTTCAGTGCTGGAAAAAGAAAATGAATCACTGACAGCTACTAAAGATTTGGGATGTTGAAGTGTGAGGATCACCAAAGGGTTATTACTCTGTGTGTGTGTGTGTGTGTGTGTGCGCGCGCACGCGTCTGTGTGTGCTGGTCCTAGTTCTTCCACAACCATGACATTTCATGCAACACAATTGAGTAGCTGATCTTGACAGAAACAAGATCTCAGCTAAGAAGGGAAAAAGACAATGGGGTCTGGTTCAGGGTGTCCAAGGCAGCTCCAGGTGGCATCACAGGGGACTATAGTGCAAGGTGTGTGCTGAAGATGGGGTGTTTCAAGCATCCCGCCGTCTGGGGGCGACCCTTTCTCCTTGCTCCCGGAGAGGCTGCCAGTGGAGCATGCTTGGCCCGGTGGTCCCAGTCAGACCAGGTAACTCCTCTTTTAAAGTAAAGCTCACCAGGGGCCTCGGGCAGGCTCAGCTCCCTTCAACTGCTGTCCCCGCCATCCATAGATCTGGTTGCTGCTGACTTTCTGAGCATGTTTGCTAAGCCTTAAGCTGTGATTTATGCAAACAAAGAACAAGCCCCTGTTGCTTGTACGCTCTCCAGACCCAGGCTTCCCCATTTGCAAAACTCCCTGATGTTGAAGTGACTCTGTAATTTATCAATCAAACCAGGATGCTTTCAAGAGCAAAGGGGAAGGTCGGGTGTGGTGGCGCATGCCTGTAATCATAGCACTGAGGAGGCTGAGGCAGGAGGATTGTTGTGAGTTTGAGGCCAGCCTGGGCTACATAGTAAGTCCCTATCTCAAAAAAACAGAGGGACACACACACACACACACACACACACACACACACACACACATACACAGCAGTTTTAATGATATTGGGATAATATTTATTATAAGCCATTAACTGGTTCTGTTTTGGATAAACCAGTTTGCTTAGTCACTCTATTCATGATCTCCTATGAGACCTCTTGGGAGTCCCCCATATTTCCTAGCCTGATTGTCCATTTGCTGTGCTCCAGTGCTGCCTGCTCTTTCATCCTGGGCCTGGAGATGGGACGGCCTTGGGTGAGCCATTCACTGCTGCAAACCTAGTAGCCAACAGAGCAGCCATCAGGAACAGCAAACACAGGCGTTCTCTGCTCTCCTCAGGTGCTTCCCAGCCAGGCCTTCCCCATCTGTCTTCTCCATGCCAATCCCTCGGGCCTGGGAGTGAGACAGTGACGTTGAGAAGGACACCGCAGGGCCCTGTGAGCCGAGAAATACAGTCCTTGGCCAGCAGAGGAGATTGATGCATTTTAAAGAGTAAAAGTGAAAAGCAGCATGGCCTTCCAGCTCAGCTGTCACTGGATTGGCTGGAAGCATGCAGGGATGTGGCTGCAGGGATTTGTGGGCAGGGTGCTGGCTCCCCTTGGAGAGTCTGACCTGGGCAGAGACTGAGGGAGCTGGAGGCTTCCCTCTGACTTTGCCCCTTTCAGAGGCCTTTTCAGGTAACAATCTCTCTCTCTTTTTTTTTAAGACAGGGGCTTGTTATGTGGTTCAGGCTGGCCTTGAGCTCACTCTGTAGCCCAGGCGGATCTCAAACTTGCAATGATCCTCCGACCTCAGCCTCTTTGAGTGCTGGGATTACAGATGTGCGCCACCACACCCAGCTAACAATCTCCTTATAAGGCCCCAAATGAAGGAACTAGCATTAGAAGGGTGTCTACCAGAAGACGACACCCCTGCCCTCCTTGCTCTTTCTGACCACCTGCGTCCGTACCACCTGTAGCGCTGAGGCATATACACAATTCAGTTCTCTGAAGCAGCTGCAAAAGTGAGACTGAAATGTAGGGGATCACGCAGCCAAATAAATGCTCCTATCCAGTCCTTTACTTACATCTGTTTGTCTGTCTATCCATCTGTTCACGTATGCATCCATCCACCCACTAATTAGAATTTAAATTCTGCCTGCAGTGTGCTAGGAATTGTGCGAGGTGCCAGGATTCAATGTGTGTGTGTGTGTGTGTGTGTGTGTGTGTAAAACAGTCATGATGATTCATGCTCCAGTGGAATTTATAGGTGTCTTAAAATTGTAGGTCTTATTTAAGTCTAGCATGACCAACAGGTCAGGGATAATTCCACTGCACGGAGAGAAAGGGACGCACTGTGCTATGCGAGGCCATGTGGGAATGTACAGGAGGCAGAACACGGGGGAAATGTGGGTAGCAGCTTTTATTGTGATTTCCTTGGGAAAGGCAAGTGACGTCAGCAGGCTGAGGAGTAGTTAGTTTGCAGGATTTTATTGGACTCTGGGGTATAAAGACTCTCCAGTTGTGCGTGACCTGGGCCAAGGGTGATGAGGCCAGGCACATAGTGGCTCCGAGGGTGAGAGTCTGGTAAAGGAGGCATGCAAGGCTTATTTGCTCTGGTTTGCACACAAAGGGCACACTCCAGGTGTTTGCCATCTAGGAATGAGCCAGCCTGGAGAGGGCAGCCCCTCCAGGGTCAGCAAGGCTCCAGTTGTGCAAGCATCAGAGTAAAAAGGCATGCATACAATGCTAGGCAAGTGCTCTACCACAGAGCCACAGCCCCAGCCCGGGCACAAGTGTTTTAAATCTTGCAAGGCAAATGCCTTAAGCGGAGTGTCATCTCTCTTTGGCTGTCTCTGACTGCCAATTACAACTGCTGCCCCCTTCAGCCTGAAGTAATCAGAACGGTCATCACCCCTCACCCCTCATGGCAGTCTGGGATGCCTCTTCAGAGGGGGGAATACTATAGACAGCTAAGTTAGGTACAAATATTATAGGTAATCAGGGAATACTGGGCCCTCCAGAGAGTCAAGACAAGAGGTAAAAACACTACATCTGTGGCCTGAGATGCATCACGTGGGGGCCAGACCTCATGATAACAAAAGGACCAGGCCCACATACTCCCCAAGGGATAAGGGAGGACTCCTGGTCTAATAAAATCTAGACAGGCATCGCTCACCTCCGTGGGCAACCAAGACCCCCACATCCATCACCTTACCTGAAAAGTTCTTTGTTCTCTCCACGCCCACTTGCTACGAGACTTGCTTTCCCATTAGATCAATATTATGTGGGTGGCTCTACTTATACTATTATTGGTTGAACACAGCTGTAACCCATTGTACCCATGTGGCTGAGCTCCATAAAACTTTCCCTGAAAAGTGGAGTCCTTGGGTAACCCACTTTCTGAGTTTCCCCTTCTGCCCTCTGAGGCAGGAGCTTTCTATCCATCAATAAATATTTCCTACTCTTAACCTCCGTTGTTCCTAGAATTCATTCTTCAGTTTTAGAGAGCATGAACTTGGTGTATCCGACATCTAATGGATTGGGGGATATAGTATTTCCCTTATATCATATTTCGAAGTTCTTATATCATCCCTGATTGGCTGCAGGCCCCTCCATTCCCTATTACAGCGGGCCTCTCCCATGTTGATGTTATCTGATAGAAGGTAGTTTGCACCCTGATCTCCTCTTCCCATCTGCAGAGAGCGCAGCTGGGTGACCCGCTCCTCTCACTGCAGTCACTCACTGTCAGTCCTGATCTGCGCTGCTGTCCTGCTCGGCTTCCTGAGAAGAAGCTGTGGTCTCTTCCCTCCCCATGGTCCTGGCCCATCCTGCCTTCTCCGTGGCAGAATTCTCCTCTGAAGTGTAAAGGAATCGCTCACACTGGAGCACCTTTCCAGGTCCTTCATTCCCTTTGTCTCATATACGAAGACATTTTAGATGAGAACATCTAAGAACACCAAAATGAATGGTGTGTACAAGCACACGCTGGTGGGTGCAGAGTTAGGCTGAAGTCCAGTCTGTCTCCTGAGTCAGCTCCCTTTTTGTCCTTTTACTGCCCGATGAACCTTGGAAAGCCCAGGGTGAGATAAATATTGGGCTTGTGGCAAGCACGCTGATATAGTCCCAGGAGAGATAGTTAATGAACACCTACTACATCACAAGCCAAATAGTGAATGTAAGAATGTTGATGGAGAAAAGGATGAGGTATTAACCTTTCCTTGAGGGAGCTAATATGTCAGGTAATGACACGAGTTCTTCCCTAAAATCTGCTATACGAAAGAAAATGATTCTTCCCTGGGAGATGGGCTCATGGCTCATGACTGGCTTGTATTCATCTCTTACCCTCCCAGACTGGATTGTTCTGCCTTTCTCCTAAATCCCGGGATGTTAAGCTCCATGTTGACATGGAGAGAAGTCATATCTTTCAAAAAGCATGAGAACGAGTGCTCTGTTATAGGGATGTTTTAAATTGCAACCTCAGTTGACCTCAGACGCAGAAGAGATGGTCAGTCTGCTAAGTTCCCCTCTGGCTCTGCTAATGAGGACACCTATCTTTTCGTGTGTTGTAGAGTCAGGGGCTGATTAATTGTACTCAGCTCCCAGGCCCCGGCTCTGAAGCTGGGAGGACACTTTGTTTACAAGGTTTGAAAACTGGGCAAGCACAGTTATGTCTCATATTCTGTCATTATTTACTTTCACTTTGGCTGTGGATATTCTAGAACTTGCATCCATTTAAATTCTAAATGGTCTTGTGTCATAAGGTTGTGGGGATTTTTAAACTGCTTTGCTTCACAATGTTAGTTGGGTACAGTTCAGTGAGTGTTATAAAAAGCCAATGGCTGGGCAAGGAGGGAGGAAGGCTCCTTGGTGAAATGGCCTCAGCCCTTGGGCGGAGCCCAGGGCTCTCCTGGGATTCTCACAAGGACCATGAGCATTTCAAGTCCAAGATCACCCAGGCAGAAAGCTAAGGGCCCGCTTATTGGGGCCTCCAATGGAGGGTCTTGCATGGAATGTCTGTGATGGATGCTTTGTCAGAGGGATGGTCCTGGTAATGCCTCCACCTGTAGTGTGGTACTCAGGGTTTACTAGAGAAAAGATTTAATACAGGATACATAATTTATAGGATTATTTTATAATAGTCACTCAAAGAATTAAATGGAAAAGAGTGCAGGAGATCTGTCCATGTAATAAAGACCCACAGAATCCAGCTGAGGGCCTGCATCCCATGGCAATGTCCTCCACCAGTCCAACTGGAGGCCTAGAACCCATGACAATGTCTCATGCAAGTCTCTATCAAGGATCTGCATTGGGAAGGCCCAAAGGTCAGTGGTGGAATCTGGAAAGTCTGCACCAGCAGGATGAAGGATCTGTGCCAGCAGGCTGAGGGATCTGCACTGGAGCCAGGAAGCAACCCTTAAGGTAAGGACCAGAACTCTCCCAAAAAGAACTGCAGCGACCCTCAGCGACAGCAAGGACCCAAGCTCCTCTGACAATAACAGGTAAGTTCATATCAGCATGACAAGCTTCTCCAGGAGAATCAACAGCACACCATCTTCCCCTCCAGTTCTGCTTTTATGCTGTTGGCAACAATCCTCAGGTGGGCCTTCCACACCCAGCACCATGCTGATACAGTTCAGCTGGGTGTTACAGGTTGACCATTAGTTCATCCACCACTTGGAGAAAGGGGGCCCTTTTCTAATTCCCACAAAGCTACTGGGTAGAAACAGCTGGAAGTGGTCACCACATCCACTCTTTTCCTGCATTTTGACACATGAGCCCTTAGTAAGTCCTCTAGATTGTTCTCTGAGACATAGCTGGACTGCACCCATGCCTCCCATCTCCTCAGCCACAGCCCTGACCAAGTTGCTTGGTCCTTTACCCAGCGGCTGCTGCAGCTTCCATCATTCTGTCCTCCTCACTCCACACCCCCCCATCTTGTCCTTAGCTGGGCCTGGTGGCACACACTTGTCATAGAACCTGGGAGGCTAAGGCAGGAGGCTCTCCTTAAATGCCCGGGCTACATAGTGAGACTCTCTCTCTCTCTCTCTCTCTCTCTCTCTCACACACACACACACATACACCCTCCTGGCCAGCTGATTACTCTGCTTAAGCTCCTTCTGTGCCTTTTCCTCATTGTCAGAGGATAAAAATTTAGGTTGTAACTGTGGCCTCATGGCTACAAGGTCAGTAGTAATGCCTGGAAGTAATGCCTTTGCCCTTGGGCCCCTCGTGGGCCCTTCGAAGCCCTGGCACATGGCTAGTTATCGGTTGCCAGTTTATGACCTGTTTCCCCTCGGACAAGGAACAGGTCTATTTCCTGTAGCCACACAGCAGGCACTCCGGAAATATTCCTTGAGTGAGTGCACGAAGCAGAAAGGGCCAGGATCTAACATTGAAATGATCTCATTCGCAGCCTGACACCTCAGTGGTGCCCCTTGGGAAAAGCCAACCCATGTTGCTGTCATAACAAGACAGATCAGAGGATCAGAGGGTCCCAACCACTTCCTGAGTGCCTCCCACAGGCTGGGCCTCGCACGCCACAGACCATCACACTTACGCAGCAGGTGCGACTCTCACTTGCCAGTGGCGAGCCGGTCTTCAGAGCTCCTGAATGTGTCACAAGTCACAGAGGCTGAGTCAGTGGTGCCAGGACAGACACCCCAGGACACCCCCCTTTTCACTACATCAGGCTGGGCCAAATCAGGCAAGTCTTTGGCCATTTCATCTAGAAAATGTGACTCTCAGGGAGAAGGCTGCCCCCCCATCTCGATCCCATCCTCTTTCTTCTGCAGGACCCACACAGGGGGCTTGAGCCTAGCCGGGGAGGTGAAGCCGGTGACCCCTTTAAAAACCTGATTTGGTGTTTGCAACCAGCTTTTTTCTTTAGTGATATATCATGAGCATCTTTCCATGCCAATAAACATAATTATACACCAACCAAAAAAAAGGTCCTGTTTTGAGATTATCTAGAAGATAAATATTTCCCTTGTGCTAATTCCAGCACAGTTTATATACTGTTTTGCAACATAGGCAAACTGTTTTCTTCTTATTTAAGCATTTAAACTCTGTTTTTTAAACTGTTATGGCATACTGATTGCCTCAGGGTAACAGATGTCTGCTTGATAGAGCTGTTTCCCAGGAAAAGAATTTGCTGTTTCTTGGTCTCCAGAGGAAGGGTGACTTTGCAAGTATGTGGCTTTTGGTCTACTTGTCACCTCACTCAACCTCTGAAGAACAGGGAACAAATTACAGTGTGGCAGGCTGCCTTGATAACCAGCTATATTTACAGATCCTGGCTGATTACAGAGGTGAGAGCCTGCCTGGTCTCCTGGAGACTGACCCTGCCCCTCCTCTCTCGAGGAAGTTTTTCTCTGCATTTTCCTAGGTGGATGAAGTCACTTGTTACAACCCAGAGACACTAAAGCGTGTGTGAATCTTTATTACATTTGTGGCGTCCCCAAAATCTTAGCCATGGAAGAACCTCTGTCAATCGCCATCATCATTGCTCTGCTGTTGGTCAGCATGAAAAACTTGGTTACAATCATGCCAAGAAGTTCTACTACCTAAATTCTAACCCGACTCCGTCTCCTACTAGCTGTACTACCTTGGGTAAGTCACACATCCTCCAAAGCCCAAGTTTCCTCATCTTTAGGTAAGAAGAATATTATTGCCTTTGCCTTAGTCCATTTGGATGGCTATAACAAAATACGTTAGACTGGGTAAGTTATAAACAATAGAAATGTATTGCTCACAGTTCTAGGGGTGAAGTCCAAGGTCAAGGTGCTAGTAGATTTGGTGCCGGCTTCCTCATAGATGGTGTCTTCTTACTGTGTCCACATATGCTGAAAAGGGCAAAAGTGTCCCTTAGGAGTCTCTTTTACAAGGGCACTAATTCCATTCTGTGGTTAGAGTCCTTGTGACCTAAATACCTCCCCCAAAGCACCACGTTTTAATATCATCACATTGGGGATTAGGTTTCAACATGTGCATTTTGTAGGGACACAAACATTCAGACCATAGCGCTATATAGGGTTCAGTCAGATAGACATGTAAGGTGCCTAGCAGGGTGGCTGGAACACTGGGGGGGGGCAATAAATATTAGTGATTATTGTGGAGTCACTGAGCTCCAGAGAAGTTGTGTGTTCTGCCCAAAGTCACACAGGGAAGGGTGGCAGAGGCCTGGGCTGGTGTGATTGCTGAGTCCTTGATCGGGGCTCTTTGGACTTTCACCCTTCCCCTGTCTCCAGCACTGTTCCCCCATGTCTTGATCAGCTGCAGGGAGAGCCCCAGGGCTGGTCAGCTAGATCTATGTGTCATGATGATTACTATCTCCTGACTGAGTGGGTCTCCAGAGCAGGAGCAGGCACAGCCCAGAAGGGTGGGGTAAGGGGCAGCCAGGGAAGTGAGAGCCGGATCCGGGTGGCAGTGTTCTGGCAGCCAGGATATGACTCCACGGTATTCTGAGCCACGTTCTTCGCCAAGTTAAGTGGCTAAACTAAAGGTAAGGAAGTCTGGGAGAGGGTCAAGGAGACAAGAGACTGGAACGTCCTTCCAGGAGAAGTAGTGAGAAAACTGAGAGCCACGTTATCTTCTCTGCAGAGATTTTGCATCTGAAGGAAGGGGAAGGGGACAGTGGACCGCTCCGATTTTTGTGACTTGCCATTGGCAAGAAGGATGGTTGCCTATGCAAGAGCTGACCTGCAGACAGCCTTCTTGCAGTTCCCACCACTGCCTCAGGAGGGCGCGGATGAGCTGCGGAGGGAGGGCGCCGCGGGGTTCCGCACGCAGGAAGGTCCTGGCATCTGCGAGGAGCTGGGGACTATCCTGGACAGATCTCTTTCCCTTAGGAAGGTGCCCTGGAGACTCTCCTCCCAGGTGCGGTTGTGAGGGGTCTGGCCCTGCTTCCAGGTGCTGAGTCTGGGAGTAGGGGGAGGGGAGGGCAGAAGTGAGTGCAGCTACTTCCCGCTTCCAGCCCGCCAGCTCCGGAGAGGAGGCTCTGAGGCACTGCCTGGATTTGCTCTGAGGTTTTCTTGCCCCTTTGTTCACTGGCTTCTGAGCTCTGTGCCCTCCTTTGGCCTCCTGCAGCCCTAATGAGCCCAACTGTCTCAGAGAGCCACAGGGGGAGACTTATGTTCATTTTATTAATTTTTAAAAAATCAGTGCCAATTTCTTATAATGCTTGGAAGCAACATTTTGATGTGAGTTTATTAAAGAAGTGCCGGACTTTGTGCAATAAACTGCCCTGTAATAGAAGTTACCCTAACAAAGAGAGCATGAGGACCAGCACTTACCCAGAAGCTTGAAGGTTTCAAACGGAGCAGATATTAAACTTACTGCTTGATTTTAAAAGTACATATTCAGAACTTCGGCTTTTACCTTGCGTGTTCATAATGAAATATAGCTATTATTTCCTGGAGCTTCTAATATAAAATGTTAAAGAGTTTCATTCTTTTCCCCCTACCCGGCTGGGGTGCTTTGTTTGTTTTAAATGGGAAAACATTTTTTCAAACAAAGTGATAACTACTGTTCAGCAAAGCATACGGGTCGTAGCTGGGCGGCTCAGTGAATGTCTGCATTTGTCTGCACGGTTGTAACTACCACCAGATCCACCTAAGGAAAACCTCCAGCACCCCGGGTACAGCTTTTAAGGGGTTTTGTCTGAATCCGTTTGGGCAGCTATAAGAAGATACCTTTCACCAGGTGGCTTGTAAACCTCGGAAATTATTTCTCACTGTTCTGCAGGCTGGTGAGTCATTGATCAAGGTGCTGGCACATGCGGAGTCTGGTGAGGGTCCCCTTTCTCATAGATCTCATCTCACTGTGTCCTCCCATGGTGGAAGGAGGAGGCATCTCCCTTGGGCCTCTTTTATAAGGGCACTAGTTTCATTTTTGAGAGCCTCAGCTTCATGCTGTAATCATTTCCTCAAGGCAATACATCAAAATACTTTTTTATTTATTTATTTATTTATTTATTTATTTATTTATTTATTTATTTATTTATATTTATTTAGGGTCTTGCTTTGTAGTGCAGGCTGGCCTTGAACTCACTATATAGCCCAGGCTGATCCTGAACTCTTTGCAATCCTCCTGCCTCAGCCTCCGTGTGCTGGGATTATAGACGTATGCGCCACCACACCCGGCTCTACTTTTCCATTCGTAATACTTTTGCATTGCTGATTTATTTCAACGTAAAATTTTTGGAGGGATATAAACATTGGGACAATAGCGGGCATCTTCTTGAGATGTGCATCCTGGGAAAGCATTTGATTTGAGGCCTGGGGTCAGGGGTCTGTGGGGATGCTGGTGTAGGGTGTTGAGGGTCTCAGGACTCCTGCTCACCATCCTGCTGTCCACCTCTGGGATCTCTGTTCTCAACAGATACAGAATATTTATACCCTGGCCAGAGTGAGAATACAGTGGCCGCTCCTTTATGCCCAGAGCAATTTGAGTTTTCTTGTTTTGTTTTTTTTTCCATTGGCGAGATTGGTTACTTCATAAAACTTTTTGCAGCATGCTGACATTTTGCCTGTATACAATTCTATGGCAAAGCTGGGAGGGATTTCAGTGAATTTGTCCTTATGCTTTCAGTCTCATCTCTTAAGTGCTGGCAAATTGCCCCTAACACATCACTTGTTATAAGGAAAACTTTAAAACTTTCAGAAAAGTAAAAAATAAGATTACAGTGAAACCAGCAATTACATGTAATGATTGCTAATGCTTTCCCTCATATGCTCATATTTTTTCCAAGCTATTAAAAATTAGACATGGGCTGGGAATATAGCTCAGTGGCATAAGCAGCTGCCTGGCATGCGCAAGGTCCCGAGTTTGATCCCTGGTACCGCAAAAAAAAAAAAAAAAAAAAAAATTAGACATGATGCTTCGCCTAAAATAAGGATATTTATTTCACCTGTTAAAATGAACAATAAATTCCCAGTATTTCCTATACCTATTCTATATTCAAACTTTCTCACCTACAGAACATTTTAGGATGTCTTTTTTACAAGCCAGGGTCCAGTCAAGGAACTGGCATTGTGATGTCTCTCAATTTAGACCAGTTCTCCAGACTTTTTTGTTACTTAATTACATTGACTTTTTGAAGCGAGTAGGCCAAGGAAAACATAAAATACCCCTTGTTCTATATTTGTTCTGTTTCTTCCTGGTGTCCTTTAACTTGTAATTTGCTCACTTCTGAGAAGGAAATAATATTACTTATGCTGACCTTTCCGACTAGTCCGCAGTGACATATGTACGCAAAGGTAATTTTGTCAGTTCACAACGCCCTTAGTGTTTCAGTAATATTTTCCCCTGGTGTCCTTCGATTAAACAAACAAAAAAATGAACAGTGCCATTTATTAAAAGTTAGGTCCAAAAAACTTAATAAGTACTTGTGTCCTAACTTAGTAAGTATTAGTAAACCATTTGAAAAGAATAACATACATCAATCGAAAGAAAAAAGCACATTCTATTTCGACCTAAAGTAGCCAGAATTACTTACTAATGGGATGTGTGTATCTGTGGGGATCATACAGTGCCTCAAATATTAGAATTGGAGTGTCATCCCCAGCCGAGTTTCCTGTCTCATGTTGAGTTTTACGTCATACTTCCTTTTTATTACAGCAACCACTGAAAACCTAGCTTTACAGAGCGAGAACTCCTTCAGAAGAAATGTAGTGAGGTCAAGCTAGTTCCCGTGGTGCTGGTTATCACCGTGGGTCCCTTGAAGTTTTAAACATTCCGCAGCGCTTTTGTGAGCTCGCTGTGGTGTCTGGGTTCCTCGGTGCCCTGTGCTGGAAACCACGATGCGAATGCAGTGTCTAGTATCTCCGGTAGAAAAGATGACAGCTTATTTGAAGGCAAAGTGGACAAGCACAAATTTGTTTCAGCTGAGCAAACAGACGTCCCCACCACCCTCCCTCTAGCAGTGGATCTGGGCTTTACTGTGCTCTAGGAATACTTGGGAGATGTGCCATGGGAAACCCTATCCTGGAGAACCCGGTGGGATAGGTTTCTGGTGTCTGCATAAAAAGGAATTCTGTGGTGGTTCCAATCATACTAAGACCACCAGGAGGGGCAGGCAAGGTCACACTCAGAGTTGATGATTTGCTAGAAGGACTTACAGAACTCAGAAAAATTCTGAGTATTCTCAATGAAGACACATATTCAAACTGGCAAAGGGGAAAGGTGCCAGGGCAGAGTCCGAGAAAGACCAGGCATCAGCTTCCTGCTGGCCCCTTCCGGTAGGGTCGAGCGACAATGCTCACTTCTCCTGGTGACAGTATGTGGCAACACTCAAGTAGGATTGCCACACAGGAAAGCTTGCCCAAGTCTTGGTGTCCAGGGCTTCTCACTGACGGTCAGTGACATATGTACACAAATCCCCATGACTGGCCTTAGGCACTCAGTCTCCAGCCGGTGTAGCCCAAGGTTCCACCTGGAGACCACCTGGTCAGAAAACACGGGCGTGGCCCGAGGCCTCAGGCATGCAAAGACCTTCTTGTCAGGTAGAGTATTCCGAGGGCCTAGAGTTTGTCTCCCAGGAACCCACAGGGGCGTGACCTTTCTTTAGGACATGGAGGGTTTGAACACCCCAAGGCTGCACAGTAATCCTCTCCTTACAACCATGTGCAGGCTGCGTTTAATTAGGTCCCCAGCATGTACTGCGCCTGTGGTCCAGTCCTCCAGCCCCTGGAGCCTGGCTGAGAACCGTTTTCCCATCTGCCTTCACTGGTGGCTGAAGGCCTTGCTCATAGCTTCATTAGAGGCAGGTGAGTGAAGATGCCAAGGGTAAGTTCCTCACTGTGCCTCATCCCACGGGAAAAGAATACAGCTCAGCAAGCGTTTTGTGTTACTGTGTTTTGTTTTCTGCTCTAGCTAATAGAAAGCAGAGGCCAAACAGTCTGCTGCCGCCTGGCCTGAGGTGCCTTAGGTGGCTGAAGTCATCTGTGCCTTCTGGATTTCTTTAGTCATCTCTGTCCTCTTCTGTCCATGGACATTGATGATGATTTTATAGGGAAACCCAGGGGACCTCGGGGATTTCACCATCAGTTTAACAACCGTGAAGGCGGACAAGATCATAAGAGCAGCGAGAGCCCTCCAGCTTTTCTGGTTCAGATGGAGATGCAGGCTGAGGGGAACGGGGCTGCGGGCACCAGCTGATGGACTCCAGGTCCGGTGCTCAGTGCCCGTTTTGTGGCCAAGAGTCCCCACCCATCCTCAGGCCCTGGTCCCTTTCTGTCAAACACACTCCACTGAAATCTTGTGGGAGCAGAGGGGTCACTGGAATTTCAGGGAAACACAAATGAGCTTTAAACGAACCTCATTCTCAAAGTCCCCGTATGTGTTAGGACAAGTCCTCTTACATCACCTTGGACAGAAAGTTCACTCTCAGAGGAGAACTTGGAAACACACAGGAAAGGAACAGCTCGCTGACAAAAGCCTGGTCTTGATCCGACCTGGAGTCATCTCAGTGGCCCCTGAATGCCCCTCACTAGCCACTTTTCTTGAATAACTGTGCTGGCTGAGAATGTCTCCTGTGACAATAACTGAGCTCTGGACTGCACTGTCCCCTGTGTGGAACAAGCCCAGCCCTGCCCCTGAGTTCCTCAGCAGCTGAGTGAAGAGCGACATTAATAGTCTATGTCAGGCTTGACCTGAGTCGGGGTGGACCTCACTGTGTCAGTACAGTTTTCCAGGGGTAATGACACATGTCACCTTGTGTCCCCCCAATCCCACCCCATGCCAAATAAGGCCATCTCAGGGGGTCAGAGGAGTTTGGGACTCATTTTTAATGAAAGTACCAACATATACATGGTCAGTCATTAAAATTCTACACCGAAATTTGGGGGACTTTCTATGACTTCTTCCTTTATTCCTTAGTAAGAGTAAGAAGACCTCATATGCTTATGAAGTTCTACCCAGCCCATACCGTACATCTTCCCACTGAACCTAAAAGCCTGGACGGCCTGTGGAGCAGCCTCATCTCACTGACCCAGAAGTAGTCATTGGCCAAGAGAGTCCTCTGGCATTACCGGGTGGTACACGGTTAGCAGAGCTGTGGCCGGAGCTTGGCTCTTGTCCTCGGTCCAGCATGCAGCTGACCCTGGTGACCCTTGATGGAAGTATCTTTCCAACACCCTTCTCCAGAATAACTTTGATATTTGATCTGTGAAGAAGCCATCGGAATTCTGGTTGACCAAGTTTAAATCATTTTTGTTAAAAGCTTCCATCTGCTCAAACATTTGGGGCAACTTCTAGATACCAGGGGTAGTGTGGATACTTCTGTGTCCTCTCCTTGGTCATCCATGGCTACCATTAGGAGCCAGGGTCTGGGGTGGGAAGGGTGGGGAGCAGGGGCAGAGGAGGGGAGTGACCTTAGGGGCTGGACTGCTTGGACAGAGGTCCAACATTGTCTGCTGTGCCTCGGGGGACAGGAGGAGAGCCCCCTCCTGACATTCACACAGGGCTGGGTGACCAGCTGCGAGTGTGGCGGGGGAGCCAGACCTCGTCTGAGGCTGCAGATCTTCATTTTCACCCCAAGAGAAAAGAGGAAGTGAGTGGACAGGGAGTTTTAGGGAGGACAAAATTTCCAAAGTAAGCATGATTTGTTTCAGGACTGGCACAGGCTTTTTTAAGCTGGGTCTCTGAAGAGCTTTGAGGACACCAGCATGCAAAACAGTTGCAGTGGGATAATAAATATTAACCCAGGGGCCTTCCCCTGGTCCCAGCAGCCTTTGAAGACTCCCTCTGTCCTCATCACCAGCTCCCTCACCCCCTGCTACAGAGGGAGGAGTCTTTGTGGCCCATAGAGGCCAAGTTCAGCTCCGCAGTACAGAAGTGGGAGAAGGAGGCAGAGAGAAGCAGGAGGAGGTACCGGGGTGAGGGACACATGGAGAGAGATGAGGAGGCTATAACTTCCCAGGGCCTGGTACTTGGTTTTCCTTTGGGGTTTGGGGGAAACAAAAGAAAAACATACTGAGCTGTGCGTCATCAATTGCTGGCTGCTGAGACCCGGCTGCTGCAGGTCCTGGGCCTTATAACACTACTTAAGCCGCGGGTTGCGTGAGCACAGACCACAGTGTGCTGTGCTCTAGGTGGTCTTCTTACCTCATTTTGTCCCCAGGGATGGTGCTACCCTTAGCTGTAGTACCCTGAGGTCCCCGCATAGCAATAGACCCACCCTGTAGGTCACAAAGACTCCTGAAGTAGCCTCCTTTGAGACTCACTGCAGTTCTAGAGACGGACCCCCAGGTACCCCAGGCCCCCCAAGCAGAGGGGAGGAGTAACGAGGGCCATTAGGTGACAGCTCTGTAAGGAAGGCCTCGGTGTTCTCACTTCCTTTTTTGACCTTGCATCTGGTAGGCACCAGGTTCTATCCATTTGAGGTCGGGTTTGAAGAGTCACCAGCTTGGTTTTGCTTCACTGTCCTCAGAGCAACTCCTAAATGACTTTGGAACTCAAGCTGAATTGTCAGTCTGGTTTTTTCCATGCGTTCTTTGCTTGCTGTAGGCCCTTTTCAAAGACCCATTGAGTTGTTTGTGAAAATGGGTGATGGTCCAATTGGCAAAGCATTATGTGGGCGGTGGCATCCTGCAATCTATTCTGCGCTCACAAAGAAACGATGCTACTAATTACATCTGTCCCTTCTGGATGTTCCCGTCTGCTTGCCTCAGCACCATGGATGTTTACGGTGTTCTAGCTCAGACTTGAGGAGGACGGCGAGGGAGCCAAAGGCTTTATTCTCTCTGCGCTGCTCACAGTGAGCTGAGGGAAGGGTGCTGCTGTGGAAGTTATTATTTTCACTGTATTTTTTGGTGGCTGTTGGGGGCTGGGCAGGAAGAGAGGACTAGAGTGTTTCTTGGAAGCAAATGAAGTGGCAGAAGTAGCCAAAATTGCAACTGAGAAATGAAACCTATAGTTTAGCTTGCAGTGAGTTCAAAGGCTATGCTAGGAAAAATTGCAGGTGTTGGTTCTGAGGTATTTGGTTTCGACAAAAAAGAAAAGCAAAAAACTAACCTGGGAGCTCATCTGAAAGACAGCCTGGCTTGGAGATCATCACTTCTAACAAGAACCTCCCTGTAGGCCCAGGGAGGCAAGGGTGATGGGAAGAGGAGGAGGGACAGGGGGATGGGAAATGTGTGTGTTCTCAGAAAACTTCATCAGGAACTCAGAGACCCAGCTTGTGCCCCCTGCTTTCTGTACGGACTCATGGTGATGTGTATGGGTGTGGTAGATCACGCATCCTTTGGAAGATTTTAAGAGCTGCAACAGATGGAAAGAATTTTCTGATGTTCCGAATTTTGCTCAAGTTCAGACTATAGAAACCAAAGGGTTTCTTAAAAGATTCAACCAGTTCACTGGGCCATTGTATTTTCTTTAATGTAGAAAAAAGATTCCAAGATTCTGTTAAGTCTGCAAAGCCTCTCTTAAGCTCCATCGTGCTCGGAGAGGGCAGGGGTAGACTGATCTCTTTATTCCTCCAGTTCAGAAACTGAGGGGCACGTGTCACACAACCTGCCACCTCTCCCACCCCAACAGAGGCCTGCAATGAACTTGGGACCCACGGTGCCCAGTCCCACAACTCTTCTGCTCTATTCCGGGTCTGTGCAGATTCCAACTTTGTTCATACTTCATTCAAGGCCTCCTCTGCAGTGTGATTTTTTAAACTGATGTGTTTTCCTAAAATAACGAGCACCTGGTTGCTGCTGAGGCATCCACAGCCCTTGCTTTTCTCTTGCCCCTGGTGAGCTGTGGGTCTGTACTAAGCTGTGTGTTTTCCAGTGGCTTCTTTCTGCCACTTACTTCGTGTCCTGTGGAATAGTTTTGATTCATAACCTATGACAAGGGTCTACAGGGCAGAATCTATGGCAAAGAACAAAAAGGCAGGGTGTGACCTCAAAGGTTCAAAGGCAAGTTTGCCTTGGGGCACCTTTCCAAAATTGGTTAAGTAAAGAAGAGCTGAGTCTGCTGTCTCATAAAGAAAACGTGGAAGCCCTTTGTCACTATGAAGGTATTGTGCCCATCTCCAGTGTGTAGGATGCGGCCACCTGTAGGAAAGGTGACTAGAAGGTTCTGTAGCTGGACTCTCAACATGCTTTTTGGGGATTTGAAGAGAACAAAGTGCAATAAATGACACTCTTGCAAAGGATCTCTGCTGGATTGACCCAGCATGCTAACGGCCCTCAGGAGATATGTTTTTCATTAGCCCAATGGGATCTGTGTGTACTGTATTCATAGGGAAAAGTGAAGAACAGGGTGTAAGGCTTTAACCAGTCACCACAGACATTACAGCAATATGGACTAATATCTAGAATATATAAGGAACTCTTAAAACTCAACAGTTATAAAAGAACCAACATTGTGAAAATGGCCATACTAACAAAATTGTTGAACAGATTCAAAGCAATTCCCATTAAACTACCATTAGCATACCTCACAGATCTTGAGAAAACATTCCCTAAATTCATCTGGAACCAGGAGAGACCCAGAATAGAAAAAGCAATCCTGGGCAACAAGGATAAGTCAGGTGGAATCACAATCCCTGACCTGAAATTATACTACAAAGCTATTGTAATAAAATCAACCTGGTACTGGCTAAAAAACAGACCTGAGGATCAATGGAACAGATTGGAAGAAACAGCCACAACCACAAACACACTCAGCCACCTAATCTTTGACAAAGGGGCCAAACAAACTCACTGGAATAAAGTTAGCCCCTTTAATAAATGGTGCTGGAAAAATTGGCTTACCACCTGCCAAAGACTGAAAATAGACCCAAGTCTGTTAGCAGGCACAAAACTAAAGTCAAAATGGATCACAGATCTCAATATTAAAACAGTGTTATGGTTTGTGTCTGTGTGTCCCCCCAAAGCCTCGTGGGGTCATGGGGCAGGCTTTTAGAGTTTGACTGATTCTGGGTGTGAGAGCTACACCCACCCTAGGGTGGATAGTTTGCATATGTAAGGGACAGGAAGAGGCTGCTTGTTGCCATTCCTCCTTTTTAGTGTTTGTTGCTTTTGCTGTGTTCTGCCACCATGAGCTGTAGCCCTCTGCCATGTGCCACTCTGCCTTGTAACCTGCCAAGTATGGACTAAAACCTCCACAAACTGTAAGCAAAATAAACCTTTCCTTCCTTAATTTTGGGGGTCAGGTATGTTGTCCCAGCAATGAGAGAAAAGTAACCAAGACAAACAGAAATATTAAATCTATTGGAAGAGAAAGTAGGTAAAATCTTGAAGACATAGTGGTAGGCAGAGAGTTCATGAACAAAAACCAAACTGCATGTGAAATACTTCAAAGAATCAACAACTGGGATCTCATCCTACTGAAAAGTTTCTGCACATCTAAAGAAATCACCAGCAGAGTATAAAGGAAACCCACAAATTGGGAAAAAATTTTAGCTGACTGTCTCTCAGACAAAGGTCTTCTATCTAGAACATATAAAGAATTGAAAAACATCAGCTCCCCTCAAATTCAAAGATCCAATCCAAAAATGGGCATCTGAGATGAACACACACTTCTCAAATGATGAAATACAAATGGCAAATAAATACATGAGAAAATATTCAACATCATTTGTCATTCAAGAAATGCAAATTAAAACAACTTTGAGATTTCATCTCACCCCAGTAAGAATGGCTAACATTAAGAAATCAACCAATAACAAATGCTGGTGAGGCAGTGGAGAAATAGGAACCCTTCTCCACTGCTGGTAGGAATGCAGACTGGTGAAACCACTGTGGAAATCAGTTTGGAGATTCCTCAGCAAACTAGGTCTAGAGGTCCCATTCAACCCAGCTATTTTCCCTCTGGGTATTTTCCCAGAAGAACTGAAAGCATCATATCACAGCAATATATGTGCACCCATGTTTATAGCTGTGCAATTTGTAATTGCTAAATTGTGGAAGCAACCCAAATGTCCATCCACTGAGAAATGGATAAAAAAATTGTGGTACTTCTATATAATGAAATATTACTCAGCTATAAAGTAAGATAAACTCAAGACTTTTACAGGTAAATGGTCACAACTAGAGACCACACTCATAAGTGAAATAAACCAGACCTCCATGTGTAAGCAACATATTGTCTCACTAGTGTAAGAACATGAAAGGGTGAATGAAAATTAGGAGGTATGATAGACATTGCGAAACAAAAGGAAAATGCTCAGAAGTAAAGGGCAACTGGGGTGAGGGAAAAAAGAAAAGAAAGAAGGGGAAATTATGTATGTATGTATACACAGGATAGCTAACATAGTTGTACTACTGACTTCTATCACTTTACTGAAAGGAACAGTTAATGATTACTTCTTTGATCAGTCTTGCATGTCTCTATTTGTTTTCCTGAGAAACCACTTTGAAGATATCAATACATAATACAAATACCATTGTTAATTTCTTACCACTTTGTCTGTAACTCTGTATTGCTTGTATTGTTCTTATGCTATTTTGTAAATGGATGCCTGTTTTTCAATATGTTTTCCTTCTTTTATTTTTAAAATAAAGTAAAAAATAAACAGTTATTAAAAAATATTCCTGGGACTGGAGATGTAGCTCAGTGATAGAGTACTTGCTTCATATGAAAAAGGCTTTGGGAGCCAGGTATGGTGGTAGACATCTGTAATCTCAGTATCCTGAGATACTGAGACAGGAGGATCACAAGCTTGAGGCCATCCTCGACAATTTAGTGATTTAAGGAGACCCTGTTTCAAAATGAAACAGTCAAAAAAGATCTGGGGGTGTAACTCAGTGTGAAGGTCCTGGGTTCAATCCGGACTACCACTACCGGGGTTGGGGGCTGAATTCAATCCTCACCACCGTGAACAAACATATGTAAAAAACCAACCCCTTCATTATGGCTTATATTTAGATGTCCCCTCCAAAGCCCCATGTACTCATACGTGGGGCTTTTTGGAGGGGGTTGGACCATAGATGTGTGATACTAGGTTACAGGTGTGATAACTAGATTAGTCCACTGATCAATTTAGCACAGTTCTGGGTGAGGATAATGGGAAGCCCTGGGTGTGAGTGACATCAATCAATAGGATTGTAGCCTGAATGGACTAAAAAGGGAAAGGAAGGTTTGCTGCTGGCTGCCTCCTGCCTACCCTGCCACATGCTGTCTCCTCTCTGCCATGTCCTTCTTCCACGTTGCCCTGCCTTGGAGCCAGCTGATTGTGGACTATAATCTTTACAAACTGCAAGCCAAAATAAACCTTTCCTCCTTTAACTTGTGGGTGTTGGGTATTTTCTCCCAGCAACAAGAAAGTAACTAAGACACACCCTAAGCAATGTAATTAGAAAATGGGCAAAAGGCATGCACAGACATTTCATCAAGGAAGATATACAGATGAAAAACACATACAAGATATTCAGCATCATTAGCTGTGCTATTCACAGCCCTCATTAGTTGTTAGGGAAATTCAAATTAAAACCATAACAATACATGGTTATCAGAATGGCTCAAGTGAAAAATAATTCCAACAATTACTAGGTGTGGTGGTGCACACCAATAATCCCAGCCCCTGGGAGGCTGAGGCAGGAGGACTGCCATGAGTTCGAGGCCAGTTTGGACTACATTGTTGGTTCAGTGCAAGCCTGAACCATATAGTGAGACACTGTCTCACCCACCCCCCTTAAAAAAATCCAACATCAAATGCTGGTGAGCATTTGGAGCACTTGAACACTCAGGTGTCGCTGGTGAGAACATAAAATGGTAGAGCCACTTTGGAAAACACTTTCACAGTTTCTTTAAAAAACGAACATATGACTACCATACCACCCAACAATCAGAATCCTGGGAATTTATCCCAAAGCAATGAAGAATTGTTTTCACACAAACTCTGTACACAAATGTTCATAGCGGCTTTATCTGCTGTAGCCGAAAAAACTACAACCACTCAGATGTCCTTCACTGGAGGAATGGTTAAACCTGTGGTACATCTATCCCATGAGGGATGACTTGGCAACAAAAGGGAATGAATTATTGATATAAACAACAATGCAGTAAAACTCTGGTGAATTATGCTGAGTAAAAAAGAGACAATCTTAAAAGATGACATACTGTATGACTCCATTTATAGACCATTCTTGAAATGACAACATTTTAGAGATACAGAACAGAATAATGGTTGCCAGGGGTTAAGAAGGAGAGCTGGTAGGAGGGTTGTGGGAGTGACACTAAAACAGTGAGAGGAGGTCTTACAGTTCAGACCTAACATGTCCCAAAAGTCTCAGGTGTTCAGAGCTGATTTGCTTTGAGAATGTGATTGTATCATGAAGGCTACAGCTTCAAGAAGTGGATTAATACACTGATGAGCTCATTAGCCAATGGACTTATTAGGTAGTAGTGCCTAATTGGAATAAGTGGGTCACTACAAACATGACTTTGAAGGGTAAATTTTTTCCCTGGCATTGTTCCTCCTAAGCTCTTTTCCTGTCTCTTTGCTTGTTAGTTGCCAGAAGGTGAGAAACTGTCCTCTGACATACCCTTCCACCATGACATTTGTGGCTTGGAGCCAGTGTACCATGGACTGAAACCTCTGAATCTGTGAGCCAAAATAAGCCTCTCCTCTTTAAATTGTGTGTGGTATTTATTTTGTCTCAGCATTGCTGAGACATGGGTAGGTGACTAATGCAGGAGAGATCCTTGTGGGTTCAGACCTGTTCTATATGTTGACAGTATCGAAGTCAATATTTTGATTGTGGTATTTTTTAGAACTTTGTAAGATGTTAATATTGAGAGAAACTGGGAAAGGGTACATAAAGTTGCTCTACTATTTCTTACCCTTCACATATGGAGGAAACAATGAACATCTAGTTCAAGGCCGGCTTTTCTAAGGGGGTACTTGGCACTTTTCATCAGAGGCTTAAGGCTATAAAGTTGGAAAAGGGTAAAACCTCGGGGAGAAACAGGTAGGATGGGAGTGCCCTCTGGAATTGGCCGGGATACCCCCAAGAAATCACCAAGAAACTGTACTGGCTTCACTTGTCCATCTTCCTAGTGGACAAGGCCAAGATTAGCCTGATGGAAACTTGGGGTCAGCAAGGACTGAGATTTACTTTCAAGCCCGAGGTCCTGAGGCTCCTCAGTCTGCCAGCTCTGCCCCTCTCCAATTCCATGGCTCCCCTCCCCTCTTCCTGTTCCCAACAGTCTTGCTCAAGAGGCCCAGAAGTGTCCTTTCACTGAGGGCTGACAGTCCAAATCTTCCCACCAGGCAGATATCTTGCCTTGGAAACACCCCAGGGAGGAATTAGGTTGAAGACCAACATGATCATTTCCCCTCCAGTGTGGGGACAGATTCCTGGGTCTTAGTACCAGTGCCTAGACCAGTAGCTGGTCCCTGTGGAGGGCCCAGTCTGGGTGAAAAATATGTGTGTGTAAATATCAGAATTACAAGCAGTGGAAAGATATTTTCACCAAATGGGCTGTGGAATTAGACAACTGGCCTCTCATCCCAAACTTACGGGCACTGAGGAGAAATAGGCTGCCTGCCAGGGCTGGTGCATGGTATTGCCTGACCACTAAAGCAGCCATTTTTCTCTCCGTGTCCAGTGGGTAGACTTGCTTCTCTGCATTAAATGAGCTGGTATAACCCCCTATACTCTGAGACCCTCTGGTAGAGCAGGGGCCTGGCTTTTGAGCCTCCACCCACTACACAATGGCCTTCTTGTCCTCTGTGACCTCCCAGGACTCTGAGCTGACCCTCAAGTCCAGGCTTGCCACCTTTCCTGTCCTGGGTCCAACCCAACACCATCAGCCACAAACTCCACACTTGTAGGATCTGACTTTCCACAGCTGGAGCCCCTTCCCCAGCCCACCCCACCCTGGCACTCCGTGGGGGGTCTGCCCTTCCAGAGGCCGCCATCCATTTTCTCTCTCGTGCTCAAATTTCAAGTATAAGTATATATTTTCTTTTCACATGTCTGGAAAAAATAATACATTTATTTGGTTTGTTTTATAGCTTTTTTTAAAAAATGCATGTTATTCTAGCTGGATGCATAGTCTGTGGATTGATGAGGATTCTCTGGACTTTGGGCAGAACAGGAATGAAGAGAAAGAAGAAGGGCTGGCCAAGGCGAAAATGTCTCACAAGGAGAAAAACCAAAAGTCCTGGGGACAAGAGAGATTGGGATGGGTGCTTTTGGCTTAAGAGGACACTGGCATCCACCCCATGTTGGTCCCATGGGGTGTGCGGGGAGCAGCAAGACAGGTCTGGGAGGGTCAGTTATCATCTCCTCTCATCTCAACATTCAGGTCTAAACATCACACTGGTCGTATGAAGTCACCTGTGGTAGGAATATTTACACCACGGAGATCGGCAAGTGCCAAGATCATAAGCCTGTTGTTCAATATCACCCAGCACTCCATGAGGCATTTCCAGCAGAGGGCGCTCTCGTGCGGCTGGGGACCATCAGAGTCTCTGGGTAAGTGAGTGGCTGCGTCCTGAGTTTCTGGACTTTGGTTTCTGGTTGTTTCCTTAAGTGTGTGTTTTTAATTCATAATATGAGGAAGATTCATTCAAAGAAACCAGAAACAGATCCCCTCTTGGGCAATGGGCAAAAGCATGAACAAAACAGGAAAATCAAGAACTCAAGCCTCGGCAGTGGTTATGTGAAGAATAGGGGAAAACAGAACAAAGAAACACCTTGTACGCAGATTTAAGAGGAGAGGGGTGAGGCTCAAATCAATTCTTTTTTAGAAAATAAAAAGATTACTTAAAAAAAAATCATTCCTTTTTAAGCCTGTTAGATTTTCCAGAAACTGCTATAAAAGAGGTGTGAGGTCACTAGTGCCATCCCCACCCAACTCTGAAAATGGTCCCAATACCCTATTTCAAGACCAGCTGCAGAGGGACGGCCTTTTCCACAGCTCAAGCCAGTTATTGTCACCACCGCCTGCCCTTGCCTGCTGCACGGTGTTTGACCAGCCAGGTTTCCCCATTTACTTGGTTTTGATTTTTTTTTGTACTGGGAATCAAACTGAAGACCTTGCGCTTGACAGGCAGGCGCTGTGCCACTGAGCCATATCCCCGGACCCCTCCCATTTACTCGGATCAGTATTGTACTTGTGCACCACTTGCTACAACAGGAAGAGATCTCTGAACTACCTTTTCAACCTCAAGCCCTCTCGCTCTTTTTGGAACATCAGTGAGCCCTGGGCCACAGCCAAGGGCTTTGCAGCTGCTCTGGTAAAGTGGAAAAGTTAAAGGTGCTTAGACCTTGTCATAGGCCAAGACCATGCGACACAACAGGACCTCTCTGAACCCGCAAGGGCTTAGTGTAAAAACGCATGGGATCCTCCACCTTTATATGTTGGTTTTCTTTGTTCTTGTTGTTGCTGGGCCTGGCATAGAGATGCCTTTAGACCAAAAAGCTGGAGGGTAAGCAGGTTGGCTGGGAGTTCCTGGTTGGGTCTGTGCCAGCCTACTTCCAGTTAACATGGGGCCTGGACAGCTGGAGAACTGGAAACCATGAAGAGGCTGCTTGAGGCCCTCAGACAGCTGGGAGAGATCCTGGGGCACTGGTCTACAAGGCCAGGAGGAGCAGGATGCCAAGGGTGGAGCAGAGGCATGAACATATCCCAACTCTGCCAGCTGACTGAGGCCAGTGGTGCCCCCACCCAGGGCAAGAAGACCAGGGCAGGTAACACATCCTGCCTGGGACCACCTTTGCTCCCAGGCCCTCTTGAAGTGCTGGGGGTCAAGTGTGTTTCTAAAGATGAGAAGCACTTCCTGGGCACAGGGAACAGCCTATCTTCATGGCCCTGGGCATTTCAGCCCTATCTCACCATTCTAGCACCATGTGTGACAAACACAGCTGCCTGCTAACTAGGTGGGCTGGGTAAGCCATGGGATAAACCCTCAGGAAGCCCAGTTACCACCCTAGGTCTTGCTGGCTGGAAGCATGCTGTGCATCCTTCCCAGATGTCCCAGAGATGAGGTGCTGGATGACAAAGGTCCTGGGAAGGAAGGGGCCCTGGGGGAGAGGAGCAGTGTGGTTGTTTGTCACTCCATGTGGAGTGTGTTAGAAACAAATCAACTGAATGACCAAGTGAAGGAGTTGGCAGGCTGTGGCTCTGTGGGAGCTTCACTGGGTGGCTTCTGGTGGCCTGGCCTCTGGGCCCCCAAGTAACCCTCCCGAGGAGCCCCAAGGACCGGGGTTTGGCACATGTGGAGAAGATGTCTTTTCAGGGGGAAGAAACGGGGTGAGGGAGGCTATGAAGGGAGCGGGCTGGAGAGAGCACAGGGGGGAAAGAGAAGCAGAGAGGCCTGAGAGCATCTGAGACAGACTCAGAGCTGGGAGCAAGGACAGCTGGACCAACAATGCAGGAAGACACAGGGACAGTCAACAGCAACCGAGCTCAAAAGACAGAGAAACAGAGAAAGACAGAGACAGAAAGAGACACGGAGAGGAAGAGGCAGTCAGAGGAACAGGGAGGGAGTGCAAGGGAGCTGAGAAAGAAGCAACATGGGAGTCATTCAGGCTCTGCTGGTCCCTGCAGCCCCTCAGGACGACATCCCTCCCAGGCATGGCTCCAGGAGGTGGGTGTGGTATCTCTGCAATTAGCTGGCCACAGATTGTCCCTGAGGACTGGACAGTTGAAGGATGGGCACTGCCCACATCACAGAAACAGGGAGCCTCCCTCCACATACTCCATATGCCCCCTGTGGGCCACTGGGAGGGGCTGAAGGGGTTCAGAGGCTTGGGGATGTGGGCTGACCTCCAGCCCAGGCATATGCACCCCTTACCACAAAGCGCTTGCTTGTGCTTCCCAGAAGGAAGCAAATCCAGCTAAGGGTGAGGTTTTCCTCCAGTGGGCATCCTGTCTCCTTGCCAGGCAGTGAGGTGTTTGCCTTCAGGGCCAGCCTGGCCCTGCCCAGCTCTTGAATCCCCTCTAGGTCTGGGGTCCCAGCAAAGGTTTCTTGGGGTTTAGGGACAGTGTCAGCAGCCCAGATGTGGTACTGCTGAGCAAGCCAAGGCTCAGAGCTCATCCAGGGAGGTTGAGATCACAGCTTTGTAGGAGCAGAGTCCAGACTGGATTGGGCTTTTAAAACATAAAAGTGGTTAAAGCCATAGAGCAACAGCAAAGGGGAAGAGGAAGAGGCTGAGGTGGCCCTGCCTGTCCCATCTGGCAAGTCCAGCCCCTCTCACTCTCCGCTTCCCCTGGGAGCTCAGAAGCCTCCCCTTTGCACAGCACTGCTTCCCTGTGGGGTGAAGGTCCCCTTTACCAATTCCATGCTCAGGGTTTCCCCGCATCAACAAAAAGGGCATCTGCTGTGGTTAAATCAGCTCAACAGACAAGGAGACTTACTCAGAGAGATAAAGTGACTTGCCCAAAGTCGCAGCTAATAAATGTCTGAGCCAGAATTCAATCCCAGGTATCTCTGAGTCCCAAGCAGGGACACTCAATAAACAAGTGGTACACCACCTAGAAGACAATGGAAAAAACCCAAGCAGTTGGGCATGTGCTAAGAAGAAATGAACAAAACCCAGGGGCTTAACTGTTTAGGTTTAACCTTGAGAATGTTTTGTATTGTGCTGCATCTGACCCAGCTCTCGAAATTCTGGAGGGCACGTGATGGAGGATAAAGAAAAATGAGAGTCAAGATGCAGAAAGCTGAGGTCAGGGGGAGCCTCCTCTCCTGGTGGGAGAGAGAGAACCACCCAGTGACTGCAGTGCATTTATCTATATATTTGTGGGCTATTGTCAATTAAAACCCCTCTGCCTAGCAACTTGTTTGTATGGCTTGCCTCAGGCACTCTGCATTCTTGGGGCTGGCCTTGCTTTAGCCCCACATGTGTGACCTATCTCCAGCTTCAGCCTCTCCCCACATTTCCCCTTTTCTGTTTTGTAGTTGCAAGCAATGGGTGGTCAGTTCAAGTTGGATGAGCTGTGTTGGGAGGATTCTGCAGAAGACCTTCTCATTCTCAAATCCTTTCCATTCTGAGTGAACTTACTTGTTTGGGTTATAGATTCGCAGTCCAAGGATTTTAGGTCCCTGCATTCAGCATTTAACCCTGTACAGCCCATTAACCCATAACAGTAATCATTTACCAGTGTAGTTGGCAATTGTCAGAAGATCTGAATTTCTTCTATAGCTAACATATTACTATGGCATTATTTTATATATCTCATAGTTATACTTTTCTGCTGGATGTTCAAGACCAAGTTAAAGTGAGGCCTACATTAATCAAATTTTTGCTATCTATCAAGGTCTGTTAAGTCTTCTGAGGATTTAGCTTGGAACCATGTAACAGAACCTCTTAGTTCTTCTGTCAGTGTCAGCTGTCTGGATGAGTCAAAGCCATTGCTTAACCAAGTTGTTTTCTGTGAAAGCTTGGGAGACTTTTCTTTTCTAGCGACTCTCCTTAGGCATACTATACACCAAAGATCTCCTTCCTCTGTGGTCCAGCAATCTCCTTGATCAGAAGATCAGGGGCTCATTGAGTTGAAGGATATAGCAGAAGAGGTTCTTTTATGTCTTGGGTCCTCATTGACCTTGGAGGACTAGGGCCAAAATATTGACTATCCTCCTAGCCCATCTATCTTTCTGGTTTTTGGTCTCCAAACCTCAGTTATTAAACACCAAGAAAAGAAGTTTAATGATATTACATTGTAATAGGAGAAGTGAGCTTAATATTATAATTTTAACTAAAATCAAGCACCTTGAAATACAATGTAGAACTGTTATTTCCTATCAACCATATTCCTGTACAAAGTTAACAGACAACAATTATATTATTTTATATAGAAAATTTGAAATCAATAGCCATACATAATACTGTAGCATGACAATCATGATGACAGTTTTGAAACACACTTAAATTTTCATTTTGACATAAAATAGCCTTTTTAATCAATCATCCCTATCTAGTACATAAGAAGCTTTTATTTAACTTGTTGACCTTTAATGGGATGTCATTGAAGAAATTTGTGACAATGTCTGGATGATTTAATGTCTAAGCATCTCTTAAGTATGTAGGTACATATATAGCATGTACATCACATAAGTTTTTGTTAAAGGCAGATGTCTGAATCTGAAAGAAAAGGCTTATCATCATAAACAATCCCAGTTTTACATTTTAAAAGAGCTATACATCTGGAAGGCATGAATACATTCAATACAACACCAGATTAGCAAAAATCAATTGTCATAGCCTTAAACAAACTTTTGTTTCTTAATTTTATTTGGAACTAGAACATCTTTAAATTAGAAAACCTTGTTGTCTCATTTTTAGAAAACTTAACCTTTTGACAATGACCAATGTAAACATATTACAACAGTATATTTTTAATAACATTTATTGGGGTGTCTCCATAAGGCTATGGAGATCATTGAGGCCTCCCATTAAGGAACAAGAACTGGATAATGTTTCCAGACAGCTGCATTCTTATCCATCAGCTGGAGTCCTGTCCAACAGTTTTTCCTCACCATCAGGGATTTTTTTTGTTTAATTATCTAAACAAATTTTTGATGACTTATGAAAGCCAGATCATATCACTTAATATACTATTTTTGAACAATGAGAAACTCTCAAATCATAATACAATAATAAATAATATACAACAATATGCATTATATTTATAAATCCAATTTTAACATAATTTTGATCAGCCAACAATTTTGGTAGAAGCATATCAGACAAATGCTTCAAAATCTAAAAATGCAAAAAAGAGGAAAAATTTATTGAGCTCAAATAAAACACCTGCTTACTGCTGGACACACAGACAAATATGCATAAGACAAATCTATTTATAAAATTAGAGTGCACTCAAATATATTTTTGACCAAATTGAATTATAATAACTCTTTTACAAGTTTAGAAGTTTGTAATTATAAATAGATTAGTCAAAATTATTTGTAGGTCAATTAGCAGAGATCT